ATTGTAATAACTTAATTTTAAACAACATTTATACATAAAGTTAGATATTATAATATTACTTTATATTTCGTTAAAACTTATAAATAATTTATATGCATTACGCACAACACATATACTTTAATAATAAATTTTTATTTGAACTATTAATTTAAAAATAACATTTCATAAATTTTGTATACATTTTAAAGAAATACTTGACCAACTCATTGAAGTATTTTGTATACAACATGACTAACAATTTTATAGTACTGTATAAATTAATTGATGTTTTTTTGTGTTATATACAGTATATTAATATGGCTTATATAAGATCTAATATAATATTTGATAAATTCAACCAAACCCTTAACCGTATGAATAGATAAAAGTGCTGTCAAAAAGTTATTAACCAGACATAAAGTAATAGTCTATTAGTTTATTATTAGATGATTTGTCTAAAGTAAATATGAAATAACGCCCGGTGCTTACTATTACTATAAAATATTTATTAATTAATAAATAAACATTTATCTCTTTATTAGACTGAATGAAAATTTGAGTATTTTGACGTAAAACTTACTATAACTATAATACGTCATATTTAATCAAATAATTATTAATTATTTTATGAATAATAAAATCGACAATAATAATAATAAAATAATTAGTAAATTAATTATTAATATGTCATTAATGTTAGTTATAAGACTAATAAAAACTATTATTTTTGGATTTTGTAACACATGATTAAATAAATATGATAAGTATTAATAATTAAGTTTAAGTTATAATTATTATAATATAATATATATAATATAATTAAAACACAACATTATTTAATAATGAATTATAATAGTATTAATAGCAATATTTATGAGTATTTATTTTAAAAAATAAAGCTATCATTTATTGTACTACAGTGTAGTATATTTTATTAAGTATTATAATGTTTAGTAACTATTGTACAAACAGTAATGCTTAATAAAATATTAATAGTAAAACATTAAAATAGTTTTTATACTTTTAATATTTTTAAAATTTTTACGACCTATTTTAATTTAAACTAATTTACATATAATTAAGGCTATGATACTTATAATAATAACTATAGTAAATAATAGATAGTGATTAATTAAAAAAGTTTTTTTAAATTAAGATAAATATATTTTTAAAATTTTATTTATTTAAAGATTATTTTTTATTTTAATATAAATCAATCAGAAATGAAATAATTTTATTTATTTATTTCTAAAAAAAATTAAAATGTTATTTGATTTTATAATTATCTTTAAAATATATTTATTCAAATTTAATTATAAGTCAGAGATTTTTGACATTTACTGTACATGTTTGACATTACCGTCAAATAAATAATTTTTTTAAAAACTTTATTTAATGTTAATGGTATATTATGTTTAAAATTATAAAATTTCATTTTTTTTATCTATTATGTGATTAATATTGACAAAAAAAACAAGTGGATTATTTTATTGTCCAAATGTTATTATATTAAATAGTAAATTAAATTTGACAATCTTTTAGTTTTCGTAACAAAATTTAATGTATTTGCCAACCAATGCAATGCCATAGCAATGAACTATTAAATAAGATTTAGATATTGCACAGAAAATATTTAAATTTTTCAGTTAAATGTTAAATTTAATTGACACCAAAAAATAGTGATATTCAGTGATTTCATGTTTTGAATGACAAAATACAAAACGCTTTAAGTTGTCGTTGTGTTTATTATTTACTGTCTTTACGTACTGTGAGACCAGAGATTTGTGAATCAATAATGTCTTTACTTTGAAGACTACATCCAAACCTAAAATAATATTATGTGTCTTCTCTCACATATATATATATATAAATCCGTGACTTGAATGTCATTTTAGAGTAGAGCTCAGGCCTACGCAATCTAACCGATCATATACTGTGTGTAATACATTATATCAGATATTGTAGATTTAATGTTTGAAAAAATATATAATTTTATTTCAATATAAGAATAATAAAATAACTACAGTATTATTAACTATTATTATTATTATTTAATAATAAAATAAAGGTTTTGTTATTATAAATATTTTTTGAAATTTGTTTCATAAAATTTCAAGATTAGTTTTTATTAGATTTTTGTATTCTGAATATATTCTTAAAATACAAAATAATTTCTGAACATTTTTTCTACAAGAGTTTAGTTATAAATTTTTAATTAAATATGAAAAAGATAATTGTTTGAGATTTTTTATTAATTATATTTAAGAAATTATTAAGTTTATGATATTTATTATTATTTTTTACTTTAATTATAGTATAGAAATATTATCAATATATGAAGTTGATGTTTGACATTGAAGTGTTCAAGTATTATATAACTTTATAAAACTATAGATATCAATATTTATAAACTGATTTGAATTTAAATATGGTTTTTTAATTATTTAGATAAACTCTAATTTATTTTACTTTAATAGATACACATAAACGTTAATGAAAATTTAAAATAGTTACTTAACAATAATTATAACTACAGTAATACAATATTTAATATAAGAGTAAACCAGTTAAGAATGCTAGAAAGCATTTTCAGAAAAAAAACTTGAATATCATAAATAGGTTGAAAATCATTATTTTGTATAATTATAGCGGCTATATAGTAACATAAAAATTTAAAAACTGGTCAAATATACATAATTTAAATATTGTAATGTAGAGTATCAAATGACTAAATAAATAACTAATCATTCTTTTGCCGCCATTTTTTGAAAGAATAAAATAATATTTTTGATTTATTATATCTTATTTTTGATGTTCTATACAATTCTAAACTTTAAAATTTTTACCTAAATTTTTTTACTTTAACCGCCATTTTCTCTACGTTCCCTAAGAGATATCAAAAATTTGATGCAACTTTTCAATACATTATTTGTAGTCCTCTAACCGAATCTGAAGTCAGAATTTCAAAATTCGCAAAAAACTGCTACACACTGACAGACAGACACACAGACAGACAGACACACACACACACACACACACACACACACACACAGACTCAAAAAGGCATTATAGATTTCAGTAAACAAAACTTTTCAAGTTCTTTTTGAATATACAGTATGTATAATAATTGTTATAGAAATGTAAATATTATGAAAATTATTATAAAATATAGTAATATTTATAAAATATAGTAATATTTATAAAATAATAATATTTTAAATTAATTTTTATGTTTATATTTATATTAAACTGTAGACATTTAATAGCAATAGTATCTTAATAGTATATTTTATAAATCAATTTATTTCTAAATATAGATATTTTAAACAAAATAATTTAAAAATAACAATCTTTTTGCATTGCAATTACAATATTTACAAAGTTATTAAACATTTAATGTAGAAATATATATAGAAGTATATACTGTATTATATACTTCATATCATTTATATAATACTTAATAAAATATTGTAAACAATGTATAATAATAGTATACATATTGTGATTTAAAAGCTAAGTACTATTTTTTTAAATAACTATTTATAACAATTTAGGGAAAATATTTACTTGTATAGAAACTTATTATAATTTTTTTAAACTAAAAAGTTTATTTTTATGAGTTTTTTTACTTTAATAGAAAATGTTTCAATTGTATAAATTAATACTATATTTAAATTAGTACAGTATAATGCAATTAAAGAAATATAATTCTATTATATTTGATAACTGAATTACATTTTCTTGCTTTTTAAACAAATTTTTATTATTATTATTATCTTTTTTTCTTTTTAATTGTAAAAGTTATTATAAATTTATGTGAATAACAATGATTTTTGAACAACTCTTATAACTTATAAAAATAATTTTATAACTTTCAAGAATTTCAAACATTTTAAATGTTTTCAAATATTTTATTTGATTTTTTATTTTATCAAAGAATAATAGATAAAATTATAATAAATCATGTAATACTAGTTTATAAGGTTAACTTGCAATTTATTACTTTATATTTTTTTAATAATTTACTTCATAATTGTTAAAAATAAAATTGCTATATTAAAAAAACATTTAAATAAATTAATAAAATTTATAAATATAATTATGTTAACAAATATAATTAATTCGATAAATTTTTTAAAAATTTTATAATCTCTTTTCATTAATGATATTTAAATATTATCTAAAAATGAACATTTTCTTTATGTTTTTAGTACAGTATTTTGTTTGTAATATTTATTACTTTTATAATTATGGCAATAATAAAACCATAAAACTTATAGTAAGAAGCAGTATATTATTTTTATTTTGATTATTCACATTTTATTTAATATATGTTAGACTATGCAAAGTTATTACTATATTTTATCATATTTAAAATATTTAAATATTTATTACATTACAGATACGACTTATAATTTTTAAAATGATTGGTAATATTAGATAAAAAAATTATTTTATCAGTGAAAGCTTTTATAAAATTATTTATAAAATTCAAATGTTATAAAAACTGATGCCTATATTTTACATAATATTGAATGTGACATTTACTGTATATATATATATATATATATTAATAATATTAATAATAGAGTGTTCAAATTTTCCAAAATTTACTATATTTGATGTTAATAATACATTGCAAACTATATGCGAAATATTAATTGCAAATTATATGAAATGTTTAGAAAACACAAATTTCTATGTATTTGAAAGTTAAAAATAATGTAAATTTATATTAATGCTGAAAATTGATTCATTAAATATTTTGTCACAAATTTTAACTTTATCGACAGTTTTTTATAATAATGTTGTTGACTAAATTTTATACCGGAAATTCATTATTTTAATATAATAATTTATTATGAATATTGTAAAATCAGGATAATATAATTACTATATATTTAGTTATTAATTATATTTTTAAATTTAAATATATATATATATATATATATAACTAGTTTATATGTTTTCAATATAAATATTTTATATAATATTTATTTATCAATATTTATATTTAACAGTAGACCCGGAGCGGTGTCATCCAACTCAGCCATTTCGTTGTCCGGGAGATAAATTAAAATGTATTTCAATTCAATATCTTTGTGGTGAGTATAGCATTGTTTGAAAATTATAAATAATTATATTATTTTTATTAAATAAAATATCAAAATAACTAATAAAATATATAATTATAAACCATTAAAGACGGCGCTCCCGATTGTCCCGACGGTTACGATGAAGACTCATCTCTATGTACTGCAGGTAAGCATTTGTTTTTATGATTGCATTTAACTTATTATACATTATTTACTGCTCTTTTGTTAAATATGTTTAATTAGTAAATAAGATTAATGAAAAATAACAATAAAATTGTTATAAATCTTTAAAAAATTATTTAAAATAGTTTTATATGATTATCATAAAGTATAATTTAATTTAATATTACACATTAAATAATTTAGTTCATAAATTTATTTTTCAATCAATAACTGTATTTTTCAATTAAACATATGGCTTGTGAATCTGTGTATTTTCTCTAAACTTTTTATTATTTAATTAAAATTAAGTTATAAATTTAAATAATATCAGATAAAAAAATTAATTTGCTTATCATATTTTTAAGTAACATAAATTTAATTTATTTTAAATATTTTTTAATAAAAAATAATAATTTACAAAACTATTTAGATATTAAAACTTTTAGCATTTTAAAAAATAATTATTTATCTATATTTATTAAATACATTATATTCTTAAACAACATTTTACTAATCAATAACTAAATTACAATTAATATAATACTTAAAGAAGTTTACATAAAAATATCCAAGGTTATTAGTTATGCACAAAATAATCATTCATTTTATTAATTGAAAATTTATTTAATAAATAACATACACTTTCACATTGAATGGGGTTTTTGTTAGAAAAAGCAATAGTTTTTATTATACAGTATTTAATAATGTATTGTATTGTTTGGTCTGTAATGTCAGTTAGTGTTTGTTTGCTTATTGGTTAGGGTTTGGGTTAGGATTGTAATATTATTGTAAAGAAATTCTAGATATTTTGAATAATTTTCTAAATAAAATTAGAAATTTAGATTTATAATTTTTTTAAAAAAATATATGTAAAAATTAGTGAACATTTTGCTTTTTATGTAAAATTTCTACAAAAATTTGTTGTTACTCTTGGGATTGTCCGGAAAAATACTGGACGTTTACTAACCCTACTCGTTGTTGTTGTTATGTCTATGCAATGAACAGTTGGTATTGAATGGTATACCACTGGTCTCTGATAGCACACCGTATGGCAGATAATGAACCTCAAGTATCTCAAATGAAATTCATGTTTCCATCAAACTATATCCTAGTTTAGTAGCAAATACTATATAATAATAATAATGGCAAACCATGTCTAACTGTGCCAAACAAATAAAATAAATCATTCAATAAATAAATGTTTGCATCAAATCAATAATTAAGCAAAAGATAATTTGCGGCACAAATATAGCAAAAATATCATTTGGTTTATTATGTTTATGGAAACCCCATTGCTATTCAAATTAATTATTAACAAACATTTTTTACATATATTTTCGATTTAATTTATAGGATACGCTGATTATACACAAAAAAATTGAATCACATTTTTATTTTGTATAAAATTTATAGTTAAGATATATATATATATATATATATGCTGTATATATATATAATTATACATCAAATAAAAGATAGTTTAACAATTGAAGTCAAAGGAAAAATGCTTATATTTGCACAAAAGCAACATATAGTTAGTGATTATATTTTGTAATTTTTGTACACAATGTAAGTTTTTTTGAATGTTTTTTGAGATGATTTTTTAGTACTCAAATTATAAAAATATATCCTAAAGTTATACAACTATTACATCAATATTTTATATTTATTAAATATGATATATCATAGTATAACTATATTTATAAAAATGTCTCAAATTGACATTTATATATAAATATATCAACATACAGTATATACAGTATTTTTAAATAAAAACTAATAGTAAAATAAAATGCATGTAAACGTCAATAAGTAATGATAATGGATATCTAGATAATGATAGTTTGGTTTATTGTTATATCTATCAATATTTTATTACTAAATTGTATGATTGTATGTAAGAATATATATATTAATATATATAATATGTATGTGTGAGTGTGTGTTATATTTAAATATCTTTAGTTAGATATGACGTAATAGTATTTTACAATTATATATAATTAATATATTGTTGAATACTGTTTTTTGTCTTTACCACCACTTGCTTATCACTACTGCAGAGATCATATCTATCATCTGATTTCTCAAAGACCTGTTGGGTGATCTCTTTAGTCAATTACAGGTCTCATATCGACCACAATGTAGTTGACACTGGGTTTGATTGTTGATAGTTCAGTATCGGTCTCATAGCGTCCCTCTTTGTATACCTGACCGGTTGATTAAGACATTATTGTGTTAATTAATCCTAATTTGAGACTTAACCTAATCATAACACTTAGCGCAGTCAGACTGATCCCTGTCTACTCAAGTCATAACAATATAAATATAATTTAAATTATATATTAATAATGTACATTGCTCAAATCATTTATTTTAAATTATATGGTTCAAAATTAATTGATTTAATCTTACTTTATTAAGTTGTTTAATATAAACTAAATTATAAAAAATAAATAAATATCTTATTTACAATTAATGTTTTAATCAATACTTTATTTTATTAATAATTAGTATAAAACGTTTTGTTAAAAATGTAATATTTTTAATTTCATTTATATATATTATAAATATAATAATAATGTTTTTATATTTTTACAATATTAAATATATATTATAATAGTTTATTATACTATTGTATCTAAAAAATTACATTAAATTAATAATAATTTAGATAAATTGTTAATAAATTTTATTTAAAAATCGTTACATTATTAATATTAATAAAAATAATTATATAGACTATAATTTTAATAAGTTAATTATAGCATTTATTCAAATTAGTTACATTAATATATTAGATATTTAAAGTTATATTATTAATATTAATAATAATAACATTGCAAATATAATACCATATAATTTATGTAATAATATTTTATTTTATATCTATATTAATAAGTGTATAAAATTAACAATTAACTGAAATTTACTCTAATGTTTTACAATAATTATAAAGAGTGTAAATTTGGATCGATTGTAATTTTAGTATATTATAAAATTATGGTTTATATCATTGTGATGTGCCATTTATTAATTAAAATAAATACAATTGAAATATAAATATTAAGATTAATATACTTTTTAATGATGATATTGTTATATAAGATAAACATATTATGAGATAATGAGACAGTAAATCAAAGCCGGCACCAGTTGTCACCAAATATGAAAGATTTTATTTTTGTATTACAATATATAGTGAATACACTCAAATCATGTTAATTTTATACACATTATTTAATATACACTATATGTATAAAGTATATATTTATTCATATATCTATTGCATAAAAATGCACTATTATATTTAAATTTAATAATATTGTAAATACAATACAAAATAACATATGTTATTATTATTTTACTCGTATTTCCACTAATTTTTTATTCATATATAGTTATGAATATACTTTGTTATATCATATATACAGTAAATACATTACAAAAGTACTGTATAACACAGCATACATACACACTCTATACCAGAATATTCTGTATTTTATGTGTGTTTGTGTTTTATACATAATCTAAAGCTTGATATGTTTTCGCTGCTAAGTAACACAAATATTAAAATATATTATACGATATATAATATACATTTACATACGATATGTATATTTATTGTTTAAACAAGTTTTTTGAATAATTTTTTTTTAAATTTATACGAGTATATATATATAATAATAATAATCATTATATTAAAAGAAAAAAAACATTTTTAAAATTAAATTAATCAATTTCTGGTTTATCTTTTTGTATTATATATACATTGAATTTATTATTAATGTCAGTCTTATATAAACATACAAAGTATTAGTAAACAAACAGTAGTTTTATCACACATTTTCTCTTATGAGATATCGCTTAAGAAAATCGATTAAATGATAAACAAAATAATAATATAAAAAAGTAATGCAAAAAGTGATGATTAAACAAAATCACAAAAATGTATTATTATTTATACATTTATAACTATACCAGTATAAGATTTGTTATAATCTTTTAAATTTAAATTTTAAAAATAAATACAGTATATTATTCATTTGAAAATATTAAAAATATAGATTCATAAAATCTTATTTTTGGCATCTTTTAAGTTTTCATTTAAATAACATAAACTTTTTAAATAATGATTATAATTACTATTTTTTTAAAAAAGTAATATATGTTGTTTTTTAATTTTAATATAATTTTTAATTAATTAATTATTTTTTTAATAAAAAATAACACGGTTGCTATAGTGTAGTTTATAATTATATAATATATCTAAATTATGTTTGACGATCGATAAATATTGCATAAATATTGTACTTATATTTCTACTAGGATTGCATATTAAAAAATATTATATAAATTTTTGTTTTTATCTAATTTAATGCATTAGTGTTGGCAAAAAAGAGAAATTTATAAAATAATAGAAAAATTTCTAGAAAGTTTCTATCAATGGGATCCCCATTTTATTTTTGTTAATTTTGTTATCTCGATATTTGTTATCTTGTATCAATACATTGTTTTTATAATTAAATATTAGTATTAGTATTTTAGTTATTAATTAAAGTAAAAAATTCATTTATTTAATTATCTTAAACTATGATATATATAATTAAATATTACAAAACTGATTATTATTAAATAACTATAATTATTTTATATATAGGTTTCCCATTTTAGTGTAGTATATATTTAATAGTATAATATTATATGTATAGTATATTATATTAAAATAGCAATAGATATGTGGATCCAATAGTATAACAATAAAATCAAATTTCTATAGAAATTTATTCATGAGAAATTTTCTAGAAACTTTCTATTTGCTGATTTCTAAATACAACATATAATGCATTATAATTAAGATTAACAAATGATTTTTATTTGTTTTTATTTTGATATTCTGTTTGAATTCTATTTGATATTAAAAACTAAATTTTTATATTCAATCTATTATTACTATTTGTAATATAAAATATGTTGGATTTAAGTTTATATATAAAATCGCATAATAGATTAATTTTTAAAAAACAAATAATTTTAATTATCTAAAAAATAATTTGTATTTTTAACTTTTAATATGTATAATTAAATATTAATCTTTTTAATATAATAAAACTTATTATAATATTTTATTCTTAATATTACTAATTTTTTATTAGAAATTTACATAATTATGATAATAGATAATCTAAAAATTGAATTATATGGAAAACATTATCTACTTTTATAATTATATTTAATTTGAATATTTTAAATAAAACGAGTTTTTTCAACTACTAAACTAAATTAACAAACAATTGTATCCATACGTTATACGTGTTTATGCATTCAATATATTAAATATGCAAATAATTATTACAAATACATTTTTCCATTAAAATATTTATTAATAAAATTGTTTTAACATTTTAAAAATTATTATTTATTTATATCTATAAAGCAAAGAGACCTCCGGTTGAAGAGACGGCTCAATTTCTGCAGACACTGTTAGCAAATCATGGACCCAATTATCTCGAAAAATTGTTTGGCAATAAAGCAAGGGATGCATTGGCACCACTCGGCGGATCTCATAGAGTGGCCGTTGCTCTTTCAGGTGCGTCTCCAGACATATACATGTCTACTAATTTATCGGTATTTTTAATTTTGGTTTTGTCTGTTTGATTGTTTGATTTACCAAAAATAACAGAAAGTGAGACAATAGAAGATTTTGGTAAAGCTCTTCATCTGATGCGAAGTGATTTGGAACACTTGAGGAATGTCTTTATGGCCGTAGAGTCCGGTGATGTCAGTCTATTGAAGTCTTTGGGAATCCGAGACAACGAGTTAGCAGATCTTAAGCTATTTCTCGATAAATTAGTCACCACTGGATTTATGGATTAAACCCATGGATTACATGAACCCATAACAACACAATAGATTAGTCACCGATTGATATCCCAATTCTTTATCATCCCTTAACCACATTAACACACAATTCATTATAAATTAGTTTATAATTTAATTAGAAATTAAATAAAAAAACTGTTTTATTATACGATAGCAACATTTCAGCGTTTTCTGTAAATTTGTTTTTTATATTTATGTAAATCATAAAAATTTATTTTTTAATTATAAAATAAGTAACAAAATGTTTATTAAAGATAATCACAAAAAGAATATACTATTTAATTGATAATCCAAATCTAAAGGTCATTAAAAAATATTTTACGATGTAATGCAAAATACTTTTTAAATTTAATCAAACTTTATAAAAACTGAACAAAATTTTTAATAACATTTTCCATATATAAAATGATATGAATAATTTGATTAAAATATAAAATTTAATTTATATAATTTCTTTCGTTATTTAACAGCGTTGGTGTGAAATAGCTTTGAGGGCTTCTAACAAATGGGATGTGATTTATAGATATATATACTCTATATATATGTATAGTATGTATAATATGAAATGATAATAAAGTTAAAGTTTAGGTATAAATTAATAAAATAAAGTACATATTATGTATAAATTATATGTAGATAAATGAAATGTGTTGTAACCAACATTTTTGCTGCCAGTTGTTTGATGTGATGTTTACTATACTGTATATAGAGTAATATATTTTGTTATAATAATATAAATTAATTTTAACAAAAAACTCGAATTATTAAAATATAAAAATTATTTATTTTAATTTTATGGTTTTTGTTTTTCTTAAACATTATTAGACTAATAATTTTCTATAGGTAGATTAAAATTGATTGCTATTTTTAAAAAAAATAATATTAGATATCTATGAACAAAATACTGTATATTTATTAAATATTAATGTTTTATATTTGATCATAATATTATAATAAATATTACCTATCAAAAGATATATGTTTTTAAACAAATATTAATGTAGTGATTATCAAATTTTATAATTTATGTTTATAAAAATAGTTATATTTAAATAAAATAATATATAAATGAGAACAGAAATGCTAATTGTTGCTATCATTGTATAAATAAACAACAAATATGTATAAAATATGAATTGTTAAATTTATGCATAATATTTTATTATTAATTATTATTACAATTTTTTTCATTTATGTTTATTAAAATTATTAAAAAAATATGTTGTGATGTAAGCAATTTACATATATATATAATATACAGTATAATAACGAAACACACTACTAAAATAAAAATCAGTTTAATTTTGGATTTAAAAAAATAATTTACGTGTCATTTAAAGTCTGTGTTGTGTTTTAGTAAAAAATATTTTGAAAACACATGAATTACAAGACTTATACATAAAAAACTTTAAATTTATTTTAATGATTAATTCATTTCATCAAATCAAACATTAATATTAAAATCAATATATAGATTAGTAAATGAATTTATTGCTGTATTTAATAACACAATAAGTTTGTAAAAAAATATTTATAAAATTCTGTTTTTATATAATTGTTTGATTTATTTCAAAAAAGCCTAAAAAACTATTTCTTGTATTTATTAATAAATATGTATAACTTTGATAAAAATAATATTCATTTACTATAATAATTATTGTATAAAAATAATTTAATTTATTGTTAGAAATATATATCTTATATAAATACAGTATATTTTAAGTTCATATAAGTCATTATTTTTGTCGAAATTATCTTTTATTAATAAAATCAGTTTTAATTTAACAAATTGTTAAACTAACGATTTTTAAATATAATTGTTTTTTCATTATAATAATGATTTGTTTGAAGTCAATACCAGTACGTAATATCAAACAGTATATACAAAATTAATGTTTTTTTGATAAGACAAATAAAATAAAAAATAAGAATAAGGACTTGTTTTCACCGATTAATACCATATGTCCAGTAATATTCCTAACGGATACCTACTGTACCGGTAAATGTTATCCAACTAATAAATAGTGTGTTTTATCGGTATTAATATTTATATAACTGTAATCACATAATCGGTTCGTTAAGGATCAAAATTTTCTCTTATTGTAAAATATCAATAACTAAAATTGAATTTCAAACATTCAAATTAGTGTTACAGATTTTGTCCCAAACCCTTATCAAATCACGTTTTGGTTTTTTACAATCCAATCACATCACGTCTTGCAATATCTTTCCCGTTTTGTTCATAAATTTCATAAATATATAAAAATTATAAAATTTTAGAATTTTTTTAATATTAAAAATAATTATAACTGAAATTTAATTAATTATTATAAGTAATTATCATTAATAATTAATAAAAATAAGATTTATAGTAATTATATCAATTAAAAAATAATATATTTAGTATTTTAAAGACCAATACGTGACAAGATCTTTGAAGACCAAGATCTTGTTGTGCAACTCTAATTCAAATACTTTTTTTTCAATAATGTTGAAAACTTTTTTTAAACTAAATTAATTTTTTAGACAAATGTTTTGGTCAAAAATTTTTGGATGAATCGTATGAAAAGATTTTATACAAATACCGGTATATAAAGTAATTGAACTAAATTTACAATTGTTTTAAATTTATTGAACAAACATTTCGTTAGAAATCAGAAAATTTCAAATATAAATACAAGATTTCGAAATACTTTATTTGTTTGAAATAAAGAGGAAGTTAGTTAAAAAAAACTAGTTTTATCATAAAAAATTTATTTTTAACATTATTTGAACGTACAATCAATTTTAAACAAAGATTTTTTTTATAATAACTCCAAATTTGAAACTAAAGTTGAGATAAAACTTAATATCTTGAAAATCATTTGATTGATAATAAAGTGATTATAAGATTAATTTAAAATATAGATAAATGACGAATCAAAAGTCACTTTAATTTAATCAAATTTATACTATCCATTAAATATTTTAGTTTAATAAATTAATTTTATGGCAATTGTTATATTATATATCATTATAAGTTGTTGTTATATTTGACAGCAATGACAAAATTTGTTTATTTTAAAAAATAATATCATCATTTCTTATTTTTAACAAAAATTAATTAATAAATATATTTTAGATTTTTATAGATAAATTTTAGATAAAAATATTTTTTATTACAGTAGAAGAGTTTATCTATTTAGTTAATTTTACACAAACAGTATTAAAATTTAAAAAAATCATTTATAAGATATTATCTGTTTTATCTGAAGTTATTTTTTAAAAATGACTGTTTATGTTTTTATTAGGTAATAAATATTAATATATAACTATATATATAAATTATAAATAAAGTTAAATTAATATATACCGTATATATAGTACAGTACTTATAGTAGCTAAAAAATAAGCAATAATTTAATTTTTAGAAATTTTTTAAATAATTAGATTATATAAATTTATACTTCTATTATATTTATAATAATTTTTTCATTTAACAGATAATATATTAGATATTTTATTTTTAGATGCTTTCAAAAAATCTGGTGTCACAGCAATAAAAAACTAAGAGCTTTTTAGTAATAATAATAATAATAATTATATTAGACATTTGCTAATTAATTTAATGGATGTATTGTTTTTTTATTTGTCATAAATTGTTTACAATAATATTTTAAATGAAACTCATGTAATATAATGTGTAACAATAAATAAGTTAAGAAAATCGATAAAAAAAATTTTGTATAATTAATAAGTTTTAAAATATCAAACAAATATTTAGAGATTTATAACAATAATAATTTTTAGACATCAAAAATATTTACAGACTATAAAACGTGTGATTTATTATATTGTTTAAGTTAATTATAAAAAGACAATGTTTTTAAATTAATTTATAGGCATTAAATCCTTTGACATTATTGTATGAAAATAACTAATTAATTATTTTATATACTTTTTTTACGACACACACGTATTAATACTAAAACTTATATTAATACGCAATGAATAAAAACTAACTATACTGTATATTATTATATACAGTATAAAACTATTATAATATATAAGAAATGTTATAATTAATTAGATAATTGTATTTACTGTATAATATTACAGCATTGAATATAAGTTACTAGAAATTAATTTATTATTAATTTGTTAGATTTATTGTCTGTTTGTATTATTAAGATTAAATAATGTGATAAATATAATGTACTATTCTTTTGATCGTAAGATTGATTATTTTGTATTATATTATTATTATTATTATTATTATTAGATGTCAACTATATATTTAAAAACCAAATGACTTGATTTCAAATACAAGATTCTTTTCAAACAAGAATTTCAATGTTTTGTTTGAATTTTTAGGAATCTATTGTTTGGTTAAAAGCAAAGACACGATCGGCTCATTCAGTAAATTGTGGTTTTTATATAATTGCAAACTAAAACTCACAATAAAGTTAATTAAAGTTATTGAAAATAATTTTATTTAAAAATTTTTTTAAAACTTGCATTTGTATCTTTTGAGAAATTAATTCATATGTAAACAGAAAAATTAGTAATTAGATAATTGTTTATAACTTACAATTGATTGATAACTCAATTATCTTTGCGTTTACTTATACGTAAAACGTATCCAAAATTGTTGTTAACATATTTATATGCTTTCTGTGGATATATTTGATTAGTTGATGACCTAATTTCTAACATTAAATTGACATATGATATAAATTTATGTTAATTTTATTAGACGTTGTCTATCCAAACTTTAGTCAAATAATTTAATGGACGTAACATTTAAAGGTAATATTTTATCAAATGTAAGTACAGTACTAATACAATAAGTTTTCTAATAATTCAAATTTTATTGCTGTTTACGAAAGGGTTATGTTTTTTTGGAGATTAAAATGATTTAATTTAAATGATTTTCAACGAAAACCAATTTCAGAATTTACTATTAATACAGTAGTTATATTTGATTATTCAAATAACGTTAACAGTTTATAGTCATTTTTTAAATAATGTGACTATTTTTTCATTATATAATTAACATAATATACTGTACATTAAAAAATTAATTTGTCGCCAAACCATTATATTACAATAAATACTATACATTGAATGCAATATAAAAGTGGTGACACTCGTTGAATACATTAAATACATGTGAAACATGTTTGACAATCATTTATATGAATACAAAATTAAAAATATTGTTACTGTAAATACATTTACAATACATATATGAATGAATGTAATTATTTATTGTATTTTAAAATAATAATCATTTAAATTATTGATATTTTTAGAAACTTAATTTATTAATAATTATAATAACATATTTATTTATATAATAATAATATATATATAATTATTTATATTTATTATATAGAGTGGCAATTGTTTTATTTATATATATCATTGAATTGAGACCATTAGATGTAATATCAAATTGGATATATTGTGCAAAATATATTTATATAATTTTATACAAAACACATTATTTAATTGAAAGAAATATTTTGTGATAATAACAGAATTGCACCGAAAGTTAGAGGCTATCAATTGGACAATAAGTATAGAGATTCATAGAGATATGGTTTTCAGGTATTGTACAGTCATTTTAGATACAGTTTTATAATAATATATACGAAAGTTAACACATTTTATCATTAAATAAATATGTATATATTTAATTAAAATTATATTTATATTATATTTTATATGAGCACATATACATTTCATTTACAAATGTGTTAATTTTCTATATTTTATAAAAAATAAATAAAATTGTTATTTTTGCAAATGTGTTACTTTAGGAATAAAAAATTTATAACAATTTAAGAGTAGACTGATTAATCATAAAATGTATTTTTAAATAATAAAATGAAACATATTTTGGCACATTTTACACAAAACACAAATTTTTTTAAACTCCAATTCTTGTACCAAATAAATAGATGATTTATTTCAGGTTTATATAGAGATATTGTGGTTTAAAAAATTGATAAATTGCACCAAAAATGATAAACTAATTTTTCTAATAGTGTGCTAAATATATATATATATATATATATATAATGAGAAAATATAGTGTGAATATATCAGCAAAATTAATATTAAGTCTGTGTTTACCTAAGTCTCTATCAAATCTATACTTTCTTTACCGTAATTAAAAAAGTGGCGTAAAATAATAGGTTCAAAAAAATTAAGCAAATCTCCACTTAGTTTTTCTTTTGTGTATTCAGCTATTAATTTGGCAATTATTGGACTATAAATATAATTAATTTAAGCCTTTGATTATAAAACGATATGATTTTTCCTAAAAACCATTTTTTTGTTTAAAAAATTGCAATAAAATGTTTTGCCTAAAAATTGTGGTTAAATTTAGACCAAATGATTCATATAATATTACGAAACCATTTGGGCAATCAGTTAACCATAAGTGTGTGCGACTCCATTGGGGCCGCCGAGTCATACAATGTATCGGTGTCTTGAGTGGGTTCTCCTTGAAGTTGGCACTGATTGCTTAGAGTTCCGGCGCCGCAATCACAGAAAAATCTAATAATTATAATAAGTCATTATATTTTCATTTTAAGACATTGAGACAAAATGAGTCAAACCTGTCGTGTCTAATGAACTCGACGTCGTGACCGGAATGACATGTTTTAATACAATTGACACAAATGGCGTTCCGATCGGTTGTATTACAAGTGCGGCACCTGACCATAATATAATAAACATTATTAATTATAATTAACGTAATGTTAAATAACCTAATAATGGACATACCTATAAAAATCATGCATAGGAAAACTGGTATAACTGGAGATCTTGTAGAGGCACTGACCGCTATTAACTGCCTTTTCTACAGCATTATGATTATCATAAATTTTATTGCCTTTCAGTATTGGTTGTACGCCCGAAGCTAAACATAAACCACCGAATCTATTGTTAAATATTTGATTAAACTCAAGAGTTGCCGTCGCGTTGTTAGTAATCTCTACACCGGCTGCCAAACCATCAAATATACGGTTGCGTCGTAAGACTGGATGACTTTGAGTACTGATCAAAACCCCCGCCTGAGCGTTGCGAAAGATATCGTTCTCTTCCAGAACTCCTTTTCCGCCATTGAATATACAAACGCCTCCATCGCGTCCGTCATATATCTTATTTCTTCTCAGTGTTGGATTACTATCTGTTTTAATCCAAACCCCGGCCATTGCATTGTCAAAGATCTCATTTTGTTCCAACATTCCGAGTCCACCATTATATACAAGAACTCCTCCATTTTGTCCGCCCCAGATCTTATTTCTTCTAATAACTGGATTACTACCGGTTCTTATTTGAACCCCAGAATACAAATGATTGAATATATCATTTTCTTCTAGTCTTCCGTGTCCATTGTCATAGAAGTAAACGCCCACTTGTTTTCCTGAATGAATTCGGTTGCGTCTGAGCACAGGTGTACTGCCAGTGGTAATCCAGACACCGGCCAATGTATTGGCATAAACTTCATTTTCTTCAATGAGTCCCTGTCCCTTTTCGTGCACATAAATGCCTCCATGTTGACCATGGTGAATTTTATTATATCTTACAATTGGATCACTAGCTGTCCTAATCTGAATTCCAGCCAATGCGTTGCCATAAATATTGTTGTGTTCAATGAGACCCCTTCCCTCACCGAATATATAGACGCCTCCCTGATGTCCGTTATAAATCTCATTTCTTCTTATAGTTGGATTGCTTTGCGATGTAATCCAAACACCGGCAAAATTGTTTGAATGGATTCTATTTTCGATGAACTGACCCCTACCTGACTCGTGGACATATATGCCACCTGTCTGTCCGTGATGTATCTCACAGCGTACAACAGTAGGATTGGCTCCGGCCTTAACTTCAAAGCCAGCAATTCTGTTATTATGAATATCGTTTGCCTCAAAATATCCCAAACCGTTATCAAAGGTAAAAACTCCGACATCTCTTCCGTGATGAATATGGTTTCTACGCATTATAGGGTTGGCATGATTTTTGACCCAAACTCCGGCCAACGCATTCCGGCTGATCTCGTTTTCCTCATAAATTCCTTGAGCGAAGTCAGTCACATAAAGGCCAACATTTTCGCAGTCACTTATGTCGCAATGTCTAATGACAGGCTCAGCGGCCGCACCGGTCACACAAACTGCTGCACCGACTACTGATGTGCTCCTAATAACACAGTGATCAATAGTTGGCGAACAGTTCTCATTGATTTCAAGGCAGTAATGTTTATGGTGTGGCACTGATGAGGTCACGTCTGGAGAGAATTTGAGCGAAACGTAACCTAAATAGGCATCTCTTGACCCCTCAACAAATGTTATGGTAGACTCGCTGTCCTTTTCTAATACTACATTTTCAGTTATGTTCCCCGAGGCTATCATTTCATTTAACAACAATTAGTACAATAATCACATTAAAAGGATTGTTAGCAAATATCTTACCGGCGCCTATAAGTGCAACACTCGAGTCAATGATGAGGTATTCTGGCTTATAATGTCCCGAATGAATAAATATTAATGAATTCTCTAATTCTTCAGAGTATGTAAACGCCTGTTCTATTGTATCGAAATATGATATATTTCGACCTTTATATCGGTCTGGATTAACCTCATACTGTTCCTGATAACCGGTCCGTACGTGAACTCCTCGATACTATGAAAACCAATTTATAGTTAACACTAAAATTCAATTACCGATAATCTAGACATAAAAACCAACCAATTGTTTGAAGCTTTCTTTCCACGGATTTTCGATATCGCATTCATCGTATGAGACGAACTCAAACTTACATAAACCTGAATGAAAAAGTGGTGAATCGTATTCATAGACGTTATGGTAAAGTGTTTTCCTATGATATGTGAATAAATCAATTATAATTTCAATCAATAAAAACAACTCTGATTTCAAAGCCTACCACAACTCGCAATCATTGGCAATGGTATTGAATCGTTTGCAGACTTGTGCCACTCGACACAAGTCTTGCTCCAAAAGGTATGAAAATATTGTCAAAAGTACTTCATCTGGCAGTTCATACAATAAATATAAAGCAGCCGTTCCTAACCCTAACACCAAATAATTATCATTTATTATATAATAAAGCTATAAATAAATATACAATTAATTTGAGAAAAACAAACCTTCATTCATGTGATGAAAATTACACTTTTTTGGCCTCTTTCTTGAGTTAATGGTTTGTATAAAATAAGGTGCGCTTGAATGACATGAAGAGGAAGAGCCTGAGTTCGTAGTGTTTGACGACGACGACGATGATGAAGGTAACGGAGGTATTGTTGAGGCAGATGTCGATGAAGTGGTGTCACAAGTGGTAGACACTGGAGAATGACATGTGACTGACTCATGAGTTGGCGACAGTTTTCGTCTTAAATCATATGGCGAGTGATGGCAACCGAAGAGCAATGGACTCACACATGAAGAGGACAGAGAGTTCGCCAAATGTAATGAAGATGAGGGCGCCGTTCGGTTGGCTAATACTAGTGATACTTCTTCTAAACATTTTCATCAGAGAAATGAGAAATTAGAGAAAAATATCTCTCAGATGAAAGAAAAATATAAACAAACCGTTATTATTATTATTATCACTCTGTAATTGATCCTCATTTGTACCACAAAAATATTTCATTGCTGTCTTCTTTCGCGTCCTTTTCATTAGTGGTCGCTGTGATGGTTGTTGTTGTTGTGGTTGCGGTGGTGGTTGTCGACAGTCTCGCTGTGTTTTAGCGGTAGATGAAGACATAGTGCGTCCAATTCAGTCGGTTTTCTTGTGTTGGCCACTAATCAATCAATTGCAGCGATGATTATAAACACAAGAGTCGGTGATATGCAAACAAATGGCCGATAAGATAGTGGCAATCGATGGGGTCAAGTGGTCAACGGGGATATTCTTTTACATTTAGTCATCACCCGTTGCGGCTCAATGTTGGCCACTGTTGTGAACCTATCTGTGGTGATAGTCAGTGGTCTTTTAATGGTCGCGCAAATGCATGTAAAGTATCGGCCATTTTGTCGACAAAGTGTAACAAAGAGTACGCTTTTGGGGAAAACAGTCTCTCAATAGCATTGAATGTTATAAACAGTATTATAAGCTATACTACAGTACAGTATAGCTATAGTTATAGTAAATGCCATAAATTGGTGTTTGTTTTCTCCAATGCATTCAATTGAATGGCGAACTCTCCTAAAAATACAGTCAAATCTATGTCTCATTCACTGCACTTCACTCACGCATTCATGCCTTACGAGAGAGTAGTCGAGCGCTACAATGCATTGTCAATGCAATACAAGTCAACGATAGATATGCCTAACAAACACACTATTAAACTGACACACAATGCGTAACATATATATACAGTGTATAAGTACTGGAGTTGTCCGTAATTTTCACATCATTTTCAATGTAAAACAGATATATTATGTGTGTTTGTCTGTAAAAACTCGCACAACATTAACCATACGATAACTTTTCATATGTACTGTTTGTATGCCTTTAAATCCTATGGCCCTATGGTTTGGCCGTATTTTTCAATACAACTAAAACTTTTTTTTCCAAATCAATAACAATACGATTAGGAGAGAGAGATATATACAATGTATATATTTTTTGAGGAGAGGCCTACAAAAATATGTGTGTGTTTTTGGCAGACTATTTTTATTTATTATATACACATAGTATTGTAGATTATATAGATTATATTCATTTAAATACAATTGAGCTAGCACACAAATATTTAGTTTGAAAACTATTTATTTTTTTGCATAAATATTATATTATATGAAAATTGTATATAAAGTTTGTAGTCAACCATCAATTGTATGCATGTTTTAACCGTAAATAACATTTTTTTTGGCAAATAGTTATCATAGAGCTATACAATTATTTTATACCTAAGTGTGTGAATTTTTTTGCGGCTAACTTGTATTTTAAATAATACTACTATTTAAATGTGTATTAAATGCTAAAATGTTTGTGAAATTAAATTTAAAATCAAAATGTTAAGACAACAAAAATTATATATAATATAATAAACATTTGGTTTGTTAGCATTTTTGACAAAATATATGTCAAACGGGAACTTTATGGGCAACTTTGCGGACAAAACTGTTTATTGCCATTCATTCATCACATATTTCTAATACATGTATTACCTGTACATTAAAATGTGTGTCAAACGGCTACAAAAACATATAGTACTACTATTACTACTACTACTACTACTACTGTCTATATATGTTATGGCTATCACTGTATGTGAATATCATTATTGAATAAGGCTTTGACTCATTGTATACAACGCTATGTTTGACACAAACATTATTTTCAAATAAAACACATGTTTTCCTCCAGTGATTAGTCATTTGAATCACCGCTTAATTCAGCGATTATTCAATTATTTTATTATTCATTCATTTATTTATTTATCGATTGATTGATTTTTTCATTAATATATTCATATTTATTATATTTTTATTTATTTATTTATTAATAAGTAATATAACAACTTTAATACTCATTTTATTATATGATACAGGTATTTTTTAAAACTAAATTTCCCAAAATATTAAATATTATTTTATAAGTTAAATAAACTATAAAAATTGATAATAATAAAAATAATAATAATGGGAAATTAAGCCTTAGTAATGGTATACTACAACTTTAAGCTATTTTATTAATTATGTTTAGTTTTTTTTGTTGGGAATAATTTCTCACTGAATTAGAATTGAATAAAAAAAAATATTTGCAATAATTATTATCATTTAAATAACAATTTAATTTTTATATCCAAATTCTGCTTTATATTATAAATGAATGAACATGCTTAATTATTAATTATTAATTAGCTTAATAAAATTATACTGTGATATATAATAATATAGTTTTTGATAAATTACCTTGATAATTAAAAAAATACATTTTTATAAAATAGGTATCAAATTATATTATTTTTTATTAATATTAATAAATTGTATATTTTAAATAGAACAAATTAATTATATTTTTCTAATTTTTTAAGATTTTAGATATTTACATAAATATTTTTCCTGTTATAATTATTTATAAAATAATTTTTACTATAAAATAATAATAATACTCATTCATTATAACATTAATTAATTAATACATGAAAATAAAATACTTTTAAAAATTCAATACATTTTTGTATCAGATAATTAAAATCAGTTATATATCTATATTTAATATAGTAATTTAATAATAGTATAGGAAGAATATTTTTTGTAAATATTTCAGATGTTCCCTGACAATTTCTCAATTATAAATATTATTTTCTTCTATATAATTTATGTTACTGTAGATTTACCGGTATATAATCTTAACTATTAGTCTCATATTTGTAACCATATTAAACCATATTATATCTTTTAGTAATTTTAAAATTTATTTTTAAAATTAAAAAAAAAACTTTAGTTTGGTTTTATGCAAAGTTCGCGAAAGTGTATAATCCGCTTATTTTTAGTCCAATTTTATTTCAAAATCAATAATTTTTTTGCAAACTATAGTAAATATTAAAGATTAAAATATTAAAAGATAAATTATATATTAAAGATTAAAACGAATCCTTATTTTTATATCGGATTGACAATAGATTAATAGCAAATGTTCATGCTAATTTTTATTTTTTAATAATCTTTATTTTACATGTTAATTACTATCAAGATTAAGGTCATTAATTTAAGGATAAAAATAATCTTTTTTAAATCCTCAATCAATTTTTGCGAAAATAGTATTACAAATTTATCAATAAAACTTATTAGTAAATTATTGACATATAATTTTTATTATAATTAATTACTATTTAATTATATGTTATTAAAATTATAGTAATCGTAATGTACTATTGTTTTAGCATTAATTTATTGAGTGTGTATTTATTTTATTATAATATATAAATATTATAAATGGGAGATTTATTGAAAGAGTTTTAGGGTAGACAATGGTTCCGGTTTTTGTAGGAAATGTCGACTATTTATGGATCTAATGGATGCCAAATGAGAAGTCAAATCACACATACATTATATATAATTCTATGGTTTATTTGTCGACTACTTTCTGAAACAATTATTTGATTATCAATTGATTAGTCGTAAAAACCTCATCAATGAAAAGGTTTTAACGTTTTTGTGGTTATTAAAAAATTTTGGTGTTTGACTCAACCAAAGTTAATCATATTTGTTGTGACAATCCATCATAAATACATATATTGTTCATAATAATAAATAACTAATTTTTACTGCATTTATAATAATGTTAAACATTTTACGAGTTATTAGTTATCAGTTAAAAGCCAAACCATATGAGAGATATTTTTGACATTATAATACTATACTGTATATACATAATGTAATTTTAGTTTTATTTATTTTATTAAAATATAGCATTTTAAAAATTGAAACATAAGTTTTTAATTTTATCTAATTATTAATTTTATTGAACTTAATTCTATTTTATTTATTTAATATAAATTTAATTTCATCTTTTTTACTAACCCTGTCTTCTACATGACCTTCATATTCTACCTATACATCAATAATAATCGTATTATTGGCAATAATACGATGATTATTGATGTATAGCATATAATTTATTGCAAATAATTATCAGTATTTTTATTAATATTATTTGTTTATATTTTAAATTTAAATAATTATTTATTTAATTAAAATTTAACACAGTTTAAATTCAATAATTGTAAAATCCAAATATTTATCTTTTTTTAGATTATCAAGTGTATTTTTAAAAATACTATAATTTAAAAAATTAAATAAATAGTCTATTTTTATCATATCATATTGCAAAATACAGAATTTTTATTAGAATATATTTAGATAAGATTAGAATGAATATAATTATTAATTATTCTTTAAAAGCAAAAATATTAATAATATTAAACATTTTTTTAATTGTAAACTATTTTATAATTTATATTAACAATTTAAAAAAAATAATATTTCAATTAATTGAAAGACTACGGTAGATGTATGAAAAGTCTGTAATGATATTCAACTTTTTTTTAAAAATATTTAATAAATTGATTTATTTATTTAAAAAAGCTCTAGTTTTATATTAGAATTCAATTTTTATTTACATAAATATATTAATAATATTTTGATTGAAATGAAAACATATTTTAATGATTTTTAATTTATAATTTAACAAACTATAACATCATTAGCACCACAGCTTGTTTTGCTGACACTTCCCTTTAAACCACTTCAAGTGGCGAATGTTTTCTTCACTTTTGATTAGATCTGATTCTTCATCAGTTGTCGATGGAATCAATCGCTTAGTATTCCATTTGGAATTGTGTTCCAAAAAGGCATCTTTTAATACCAATTTGTGGTCATCTCTTAGACAGTGATAACAAACATCACAATCTTTTGATTTACAAGAGAGATGGCATTTATCACTGGAACAAAGCTCTTCATTAACTGACAAATCTTTGGTGGACACCATTATGTTATAGTTTTCGGCATCTCTTTCTACCCATGTTTTGGTGTTCAAAGTTCGGGCCACACCTACCAGTGATAGCAGATTAAAGATGACCTAAATATTATATACTTTGAATTAATAAAAATTATTGACTAAAAATAATGATTGAATTACCTGTTCATAAAGCATTTTATTTGGTCCGAAATGAGCTGATGACAGATTGGGTGACATATTTGCTTCCATTAAATAAACATTTAGGTCTTCATCTAAGGCAAAATCAAAGCGAACTAATTCAAAGAAGTGTCTGTTTTGAGTAATATAATAATTGTATTAAAAAACTATTGTATTTTGATATTAATGTAAAATCTTTGAGAACCGGGTGGACAGGAAGGCTGCAGTCAATTGCAACATTTGCTCTTCTTTAGTATAGTAAACGGTTTTAATTGAGTCCTCAATTTGTTTCCAAACAAATGTCGGATCCTTTTTTAGTGATCGCAAATATCCATTAAATGACTCTTTCATATTCATATTGAGATCAATGAAGTATTTTCTTAGTGATGGCATCTGATATTTAAAAGTAAAACACGATATCATATATATATATATAATAAAATGTCTTACCATCCACGTTGGTGTGTAGTCATCACCGACAACATATGTGTCCACATCTGAGCTATTAAATGGATAGTAAGGTTTGGCACAAAATCTCAAGAGAGCATCGCTTTCAAGAATATAAACTCTCAATGGGTTTATTGATGTCATGATTGCATAGATTCCTATATCAAATTTCCTATTAAAAAATATTTATAGATATTGAGTACTTTACAATTTTCAAAAATCATCATGATAAAATTATTTAAATTGATCCAACTTACTTTCCATCTATTAGATATGGTTTCTGTATATATTCTTGCATAAATGTACCAGATGCACTCAAATTAACAGTTTCCAAGTCTAATATACGTATACCCCGATGATTACTATCTTTTTTAACCCATAGTTTATTTGGATGCATTTTAGACTATTTTTTATTAAAAAAAAAATATTAGACATTTAAATAACATTTTATATTAGTGTATGCTGTCTTACGTGTTCAACAAATTTATCTTTATCATTTGGCAAATTAAATGCTAATGGGATGTGTTTTAGTCTAGAAGTAGCCAGGTTAACTTTGTTGGTTATGAAGCCAGAGCCTGGAAAATGATTGACCTGATAATTGATATATAATTGATACAAATTATCAATAAATGTTTTGTTTAAAACTATTAATATTCATTATAATCATTTAAATTGACGTACTCTTTGATGTGATTTCAAAGTGGGCAAAAAGTTACGCATAAATGGATAATCATGAGACCAAAGAACATCCCACTCATCGGAACCATTGTATGTGATTTGATAACCAATTTTATCAAATACATCGATTACGTGATCCAAATAACCCGATTCCAACTGTTGACCAAATAATAACAAAATTACATTATTATAATTAGTATACACCTAATTGTCATACTCTTTGCCCTGAAATCCAAGCTATAGGTTTGGGATCATTAGGTTGACATTCAGTGACAACAGGCCTATTAAGGTTAGGATTAACTAATTCGCTGACAGAATATGTAAGTGAATCCAATCGTTGATTTTCCAGTCGTGTTAAACCATAAAAGTTATAAACAGTTATGAAAACAGCGATCGCCACCAATGCTGTGATTATGTCTAGCCTTTTGGACAATGATTTGTTTGATGACATCAAATCATGAGTTAACCTGTTTTCAGATGAAGACCTTTCAGATCTTTCATTTTTGTCGAAATGCTGTTTCAAAAAATTAGGTTATTATTTCAAAGTGAATCCTTTACTATTATATAATAAAAACTTCACAAAAACACTTAGACTTTTATAGAAATGGCTTTAAAACTACTAGTAGTGCATTAACTGCCTTTCCTAACGGTATATCAAAATAAAAAAAGTAAACTTTACTTACATCTGAAGGAACTGGAGATCGTCTTAATTTTGCACTCATATTAGTGAATCATTAATTAAATGACTATTTTATTTAATTTTTAAAATATTTTTTTGACAATTAATATATTTAAGAAAATAAATAAATATTAAGTGTAAAACATAATCGATTGACCAAATTATTGCATATATAAAGTTGTGTTGCCTTTTAATGACTAACAGTTTCATTAAAAAACTTTTGTTGTTCAATGTGTTTGTGTGTTATGTGTGAGGAGTATGGATATCACAAGTGGTACTTCCAGTTTGACAGCATTTCAGAAAAAGGAGGTATACTTTCAAAAATAATTATTTTCTAAGTATAACAATAATAAAAAACATATAAAAAAATTTTGGTAATAATAATAATAATATCAATATTGCTATTATAATAACTGTAAATTTCATACATATGTAAAACACATTTCAAATTCAAATATCAATTTATAATTATAGCCGAGCACTTGAATTTTATCTAAATTATAATAAAGTATAAAAACAGCTTTTATTATAAACAACTAATAATTAAACCAAATTTTATTCCATAAATATTATTTATTTTATTTTTAAAGTAATTTCAAATAATTTTAATTACAAAAAATATATATAAAAAATAAATTTCGCACACATCTGTCAGACATTTACCGGTAAATAAAAAAAACCCATAAAAAGGACTTCTTATATTAGATAATACGATATAAACATATATCTGACATCTCTTCGTGATCTGCTTTAGATGTCGACAACACAGAGTCTTTAATATCAACTTTTGAGACCCATTTAGACAAATCAATTGTCACCTTAAAAGTGTTCAACATTTATAAATTCAAATATATTTTATTTCATTGTTTAATTGTACAGACCTGAGACAAATGATTTAAACTATCTTCAAGAGTGGGAACAGTTATCAAATATGTGTCCGACTTTATATGATTATAGAGAAACATCCAACAGTCAGTTTGTTTGCTGTCATTTAAGAAAAACTCAAATACATTATTCATAACAATGATGTCAGCGCTTCTCACGATTTGTGGTAAACTACTGATATCATTGCATATAACCTAAAAAATATAAAAATAAAAGTAATATTTGGGTCAATATATTTTTAGGTAAATTTTAAACAATTACTGGTATTTATAATATTCTATGATTAACATAAATCTTATTATCATACAATAAGTTATCAATATAATATTATTGTACATAACTAAATTTTAAAAATAAACAAATTTTTTATATAAACAGAAAAAATAATATAATTAAAAAAACAATTCAATAGATACTAACATTAATGCGATCATTCATTTGGTATTTTTCAATAATTTTGTTTTGTATTAAACATAATTCTTCATTCATTTCCACACCAATTATATGTTTGCAATTTGTGTAGACATAAGCCTAATAAAGACGATAATTATTTAAAAAATAATTTCTTAAGATATCAATAAATATTGAATCGTGTATTAACCCCATAGAGTATTGATCCCAAACGCGACCCGATATCCAAAATGGTTTTATTAGAAAAATCTATATCTTTGAGTAAACCATTGTATATAAACTCAACTCTCTTTTTGGACGCTGAATGTGATATCAAATCTATTATAATTTAATGAAAAAAAAACTTCAACAATAAAATAAATAAATCATAATTTTTGGTGAAAACATTGCACTATCATATCATATGTGTCTCATGAGATTACATGTGGAGCTAAACAGGTCTCATAAATCATAACTTATAATAATTTATAATAATTTCATTTTTTATATTATTATTGAAACAGTKCCTCAAATTAGGTTACAAAGTATTGGATGGGCTTATATTGTCTGTTGATTTTTTGTTTCAGTAATGATCCGACACTTACTTAATGATTGTATATTACGTGAGAGACAATCGCAACAATAATATCGTTCAAGTAATCCCTCGTCAGTCATGTCTTCAATATCTAAGTCGTCGTACAGAAAGGCATCCAATGATATGGTATTCAAAGCATTGCAGTCACTGTTCTGTCGTTTTAAATGATTAATTGCTTTCAATGTTTCAATTTTTATCATTATTTCTATAATACATTCATTATTTATATATAAAGTTTAGCACAAAAAAACTTATAAAAATTTAAATTTTCGTATCAATAAAATACAAAATAATTTATAAAAATAATTAAAAAAAATCAAAATCAAAATTTTTATTATTATCATAAAACTTGTCTTAAATACTAATAATAAAATATAAATCAAATATTAATTCATTGTCTTAATCTTAAAATCAATTTTTTAAAATAATATTATAAAATACTGTATTAATTAAACATTTTAAACCAATATTGTATTGAAAAGTTATGATAACTACCTGTCCGAGAGTGGGAAAAGTCATTGGTTCGGATGGTATCACACCAGACATGGGAACCATTAGCTTAATATCATTAGCAATACGATTGAGTGTAACATAAGCTTCGGTAGGTCTGTCATCCAAACTATCTGTACTCAACACAAAACATTGCAATTATTTGTTAATATAGATAATTGTCAAACAATTTTCAAAACTTTTATTTTTGTTGTTTTTGTTGTCCACACCTGATGTCAGATAAGTTGATTGAATCCATTGATAAAAGTTTGGCAAATCATGTGATGACATACGAGACACCAACTCTTCAAATGCTTTCTGTGATTCACTTAAACTCATTGTCACATATAATGGGATCAATTGAGATGACAATAATTATTGTCGAAAAATAACAACACATGACATCACACTATGTTTATAATCAGTAGTACTGAATAAAAGACATTTGTTTTTAAACACGTGTTTGTCGTGACATCTCTTAGTGTTAGCATTTGATACCCTATTATATCTATCAATTTGTATAATTTATTGTCAAAAAAATGAGTTTTTATTAATAATTATTATTATTTGCTATTTATTATATAAATTGTATCGTATATATTATTAACTCAATTATATTGTAATAGTTAACAATTTTTTAAATAAATATTTATAATAAAAACTTGTTGGCATTAAATTATTGTAAATAATTAAGAGAGCAAATCAAGTTATTATATAAAATTTAGCTTTTAATAAATATCCGCAAACTATTCAAATTTAATTTTTAAAAATTTCAATATGGTTTTTTACTTGAAATAAAGTTAGCACCAGGAAAAATAAAGTTAAATAGTTTTCCTGAAATTAAAATTATATTAAATAACATTTTTTTCAATGATTATTATTATATTTCTAATATCAATAAAGTTTATTAATTTTTTTTTGTTGATAATTTTTTCTATTGATTCATATTACTCTAATATCAATGTTAAACAATCTGTATGTAAATATTTGTGTCACATATTTTTAATTAAATTTTATTTTACTAAAATACTGTATTTAAAATTAGTGTTAGTATAGTATTGAAGGTCAATAAACAGATTAAACAAAAGTGACTTTAAATATATATTTTATTGGACGCCTTTTCAATTTTATGCTTTTTTAATTTGCAAATATATATACTATAAATATATATATATATATATATATATATATATATATATATATATATATATATTATATATATATATATATATATATATATATATATTTATATTAAATTACAATATAATAAAATAATACTGTATATACTAATTGAATTGGTGAGTAATGCAAACGTTTATATATATCAATAAATAAATTTAAATATCAATGACAAGTTTTATTCTTTATAAGTATACTAGTATTGAATTTATTTTAAATAAATATCTATTAATAGTTAGACAGTAATATAAAATATTTCACAATAAAATAATATATAGTAATACAGTTATACTATTGTATATATATAATTAAATTAAATTTATAGCATTATAATTATATTATATTATTTAACAATAGTAAGTTTACTATTATTTATACAATATAAAACATGTGTAATGATATAACTAACTAACAAACAAACAAAATATTATTACTAACATTAATAATTACTGACAAAAATATTTAAACTTTTAAAGCATATTAAAAGTTTATATAGAAATTTTTTATTTTTTACAAACATTGTAATAAAAATTTTGGAAAAATACATAATAATGATACTGTCATTTAGTTTAATAATTGTAATTTTTATTAAATAACATATGAAAAAATATAAATTGAAACTTATATTCAGCTGGAATTGAGTCGAATTAAATTATAACGTTATATTGTAGCTAAACTTTTGTAAATATATATAAATTTTTATTATTAAACTAATAAGCAAAACAACAAAATTTTACTAATAAATTTACTTAACAAAAAAAAAGGTTTACAAAATGTATTTAATTTAAATTTATTTATTTTTAGAGTAAAAAAAATCTCAAAAGTGATTGATTTATGTAGACAACAGAATTATATTTTTTTGACAAAACAATATAATGACTATTAATTTAATATTATCATTGTTTGCAATCATAACGTTTTTTGATACAATATTTGCAATTACCGTATCATTAAATGGCAATGATTGGTATGCGACAAATCAAAATAAATGTATGCAATTTATTTTAGCTAATTTAAATGTAATGTAATTTTTATTAAATATTGTTGTATTTTGAATACATATTCAAGCGCTACGAGTTGTGGCCAAAGTTCCCGGTTCTGTATATACAGACCTCATGAGAAACAATGTACTCAAAGAAGATCCTTATTATGGAACCAATGACTTCAACTATAAATGGGTGGCATTTGATAATTGGACGTATGATAAGACATTTAATGGTAATTATTTTTATTGATTTATTCATCAATTAAAGTATTTACAACATATATCTTTATATTTGATTATATACTCAATAACAACAACAAAATGCTTATAATTTACTTTAAAAGTTGACGAAACAATAATTAATAAGAAAGGAGTATATCTTGTTTGCCATGGATTGGATACCGTCAGCAAAATATATATAAATCAAGTAATGATTGGCACAACCGATAATATGTTTGTCCGCTACAAGTTTGACATCAAAAGACACTTAAGATTAGGTCAAAACACAATTACCGTTTCGTTTGAATCGGCCCTCACGTACGCTAAAAGATTGCACGACCAACACGTGAGGGACCGTTATATAGTGCCTCCAGGTTTGACTCATTTTTATTACAGAACTAACATATTTTAGTTAAAAAATTGAAAATTAATTTATAATTATTTATTAGAGACGACACCATTTGCTCAAAGAGGTGATCTTCACGGCAATTATATTCGTAAAATGCAGTCTTCATTTAGCTGGGATTGGGTGACAAAAATAAATAAATTTGATATTTAAATTTGATACTAATTTCGTCTATAATTAATACATAATAGGGACCGTCATTTCCTACACAAGGCATTTGGAAAGACATAGTTATCGAGGCCTACGATTCAGCAATTATTAGAGATATCAAAGTGGATACCATTCCCATCAATAGTAATCGGTGGCACTTAAACATTACACTTCATTTAGAATCCATATATAATACATCTTTTGATGGTTTGGTTCAGATATTTCTTTACAATACAGAACTATTTAGAAGTCGAATATCATTTGTTGTGGTATCTGATGGTAGCGTAACACTGAGTCTCCCGGTGCCTATAAATGAGTCTATTGTTATACATGAATGGTACCCAAACGGAATGGGCTCTCAAATGCTCTACAATTTAAGAGCCATTGTAACGACTAATGAAGATATAGTTCATAAAGATATTAGAATTGGTTTTAGAAAAATCGAGTTAATTCAGGATCCGATTCAACCGCGAGGTTTGACATTTTATTTTAAAGTGAACGGTAAACCCATGTATGCCAAGGGTTCCAATTGGATACCGGCTCATGTATTCCCGGAACTATTAACTACAGAATATATTAGAAATTTATTACAATCAGTTCGCGAGGCAAACATGAATATGTTGAGAGTATGGGGCGGAGGTATCTATGAGGACAATGAATTTTATCAGATGGCAGATGAAATGGGAATATTTATTTGGCACGACTTCATGTTTGCCTGCGCTCTATACCCAGTGACTAACGATTTCTTAAATTCTGTTGCCATTGAAATTACACAACAGGTTCGCCGTTTACAACATCATCCGTCTATTGCTCTGTGGGCTGGTATGTCATACTGTATAAGTAATGTATATTTTGTATAATAATTATCTATCGATTTGTGATTAAGGAAATAACGAAAACGAAGCGGCATTAGCACAGTTCTGGTGGCCGGAGATATTGGTTAATGGCGTTAGTATTAAACATTTGTTTTGGATTATGATTTGTTTTTTTTAATTAAGTTACTAATTTGTACAGAAAATATACAAAAAAGATTATCTAACACTTTATGTAAACGTTATCCGAGAGATAGTTATACGAGAAGATAATTCAGGAATATATTTAACGTCGAGTCCATCAAATGGTTTGGAGACTATTAGAAATGGTTGGCTATCTAACAGCCCTCAGGACAATGCCTTCGGTGACGTCCACTTCTATTACTATCACTCCGATGCCTGGGATTGGACCAGATATCCAAACACTAGATTTTCTTCAGAATATGGCTTTCAATCGTTTCCATCAGTAAAGTCTTTGTCAAAAGTTGTCAACATATCGGACCTAAGATATCCGTTAAGTGATGCCATTAGTATAAGACAACATCACACTAATGGTAATAATGAGATATATTATTTGATTGAGAAAAATATGAAACTTCCGGTCGCCGGAGGAATAGACAGATTAGCCGATTATATATATTTATCACAAATTGCACAATCAATGAGTCTTAAGGCGGAAACCGAGTTTTATCGCCGTAATCGTAACATTAGTACATTTAATGGCGAGGGCTTTACTATGGGTGCACTGTATTGGCAGCTCAACGACATATGGCAGACACCGAGCTGGTCGTCCATCGAGTTTGGCGGCAAATGGAAAATGGCTCACTATTTTGTTAAGACAATGTTTGACAATCTATTAGTGGTTCCCTATGAAGATAAAGACGTATTAAAAGTAACACTAATTCGTGACGATTATTCAGGAGATATACCAATGAATTTAAAAATAAAAGTATTTAAGTGGTCATCACTGACTCCATTACTTGTCATAAACAATATAGTAATGTCGAGAAGTATGTCGGCTCTTATGATCTACGAAAACAAAACATCAGAAGTGTTGAGAGCAGCTAATTGTGTGGACAGAAATCAATGTGTCATTGAAGTGACTGTTGATAATCAACAAAACAATTGGCAAACAAATAATTTTCTGTTATTGAGTCCACTAAAAGATGCATTCGGTTTGAAAGATCCAAAAATTAGGATAATACAGGTGTCGGGTCCGCATAACTATACTCCCGATTATGTCTATGATATTGTTTTACATACAGAAAATATAGCACTATTTGTTTGGTTGGATTTTACTTTAGATTCAGATATATTGGGAGAATTTTCTGAAAATGGTTTTTTATTATCTAATGAGAAAAAATTTATCAGATTTTATTCAAAAAATCCTATAGAAGTGGATAAACTTAAATCACAATTAATTATTAAGACTTTGGCTAATGTCAAGACTCAGTAAATTTGTAAATTGCTGTAAAAACTTATTTTTATTTTTTATAAATTACAAAATGATTGACTATAAAAATATTAATATATATACAAAAATAAATAATATAAATAAATAAAGAATTGTTACATAACATAAAACCTAAATTACTTAAATAACTGAAAACATAAATTTGAATTTCAAACAAAAAATAAATTTAAAAATCTTGAAATCAAATAAATATATAATGAAAAGCTAACAAAAAAAATGACAGTAAATGTTGTAATATTTAGCTTTTGGTGTCAGTGGTGTCGAGATCCGACCTAACCGTTGTCGGCTCTTTACCTGATGATTGCTCAGTTGGTTGTGTGGATGGGTTTGTTTGTAAATTACTTTTTTTGATGAATCTTATAGGCATTCCTGGTTGTGTTCTTCTATTTTCTGGATATCTCCACTCTTTAACCCTATCCCTAAAACATGGTACGAAACAGTACGCCAAACATAGGATCAACACAATTATTATTATTATTATTATGACAATAATAATGATGATCCACCACAAGGATGAGCTCTTTTTCTCTTTTGGCTCTTTTGTAGTGCCATCATGTGGTCCACCAGTTTGACCGGTTGGTACTTTATCACTACTTTTCGTAGTAGACGTTGTTGTTGTTATTAGTTCCGGACAGTGAAACAACTTGTGAATTGAACCGCCAGTAACTTCACTAATATCTTTATACACTTGTTTGTTGTCGGCAATGACTTTCTTGATCTTGAATTCATTGCCTGAGAATTGAATGAATTTGAATTCAGATTTTCCTCCACTTTCAGTGTATTTGTCGGTCAACAGAGCGCTGGCGTTAACCGATTCATAGATAAAGCATTTGTCGTCTCCCTTCTGATGTTCCCATTCGAGCTCAGGCTTTGAATCGCCGTATGTTTTATTTTTAGCCTCAAAGACATGTAATTTAAACTCAGAGTTTGGCTCACCTTCTGATACCGGCTTTGCTGACAATTCTGGAGAATTAAAAAAATAAGATTTTATTATTATATTTATTTAATATTATTTTTATCCGATATTATACCTAAATAGAAGATTAGAAGTCGTGGCTGAGATGGCAGTTGTATAATGGCTTGGATTAGCTTCTCAAGTGATTCCTGTGGAAACTTTGCAAATAATGTCATCAAACCATACTTTTCTTTGTTTGGTTCGTGTTTATACAGATTTATGTTGATTTCATTTGGAGGACCAGTAAAAGACAAGTGATTTGCACTGTCATTGCCAGTACCGACGTTAGTGACAGGTATGAACTCCCAACCCTTTAACATATCAATGCCGTCTTGCTATATATATATATATTCATATAAATATCAATTAATTTACATTCAAATTCATTGATAATACATTTGCAGAGTTTATGCCAATAAGATTGCGATCATTTGTATTGAACTGTGGACCGCCCAACCAGAATAGGATATTCATTTTGGACAGTTGTGATATGACATCCGTTTGCCATACCGTTGACGCGTCGATCACATCACTAAACTTGGTTTCACCTCCCGATTCAAGAGGAGTTGTATCAAAGTCTTTAATGATATAAAACTTGATGTTTCCATCGTTGTTGTCTCCATTTGTTTGAATCGGCTTTTTTGTTATTTCAATAATCAGATCTTTCTTGTAATGAAATGCTTCAATCAATTGGTAGTTCTCTTTGATATCTTCGCAAAGTTGTTGTTCAGACGCCCGACTCATCAGAAAACACAGAAATAACAGATTAGTTATGACTAATGACTTACTAAACAATAAATTATTCATTTTTTAAAAATTTGTTTTAAATCAAGATATCACTGAAGTTTTTGTTATAAAACTTTAGATAAATTTATAATAAATTTGTCACAGATTTCACAAACAGAATATTTTTTTTGTCAGAAAAATCGATTTGAAATTCAATTAAATACTATAATTATTAAAATCGCGCTCTTATTGTAACAATTATGTAAATATATTAATTTCATCTTATCTTATACTATATATTAATTAAGTTTAGTTTGTGTGTCGGCAAACAATACTTTTGAATAATAATAATTAATATTAATTAATTTAACTAATAATAAGATATATATACAACATATTACAAACAGCATTACAACAAGTTAGTCAATGTTTAATATACTGTACATACAATTTGTATAACTCGTTGGTTTATATTTTTTAAAAATGTATTTTATTTTATAAATGTTTTTATTAATCTATGCAAACATTTGTTTGGTTAGATTTTACTTTAAATTCAGATATCAAGAGATTTTACTTTATATTAATTAATTATAAAAAATTTGTCAAATTTTATACAAAAAAAAATCATATAGAAGTGAATAAACTTAAATCACAATTACTGTAATTATTGAAACTAATATCAATATTTAAATAAAATTTGTAATTTGCTATAAAAATATGAATAAATAAACTTTAATTATTATACAATAAAAATTATAGAAATGTTTTATAAATTAAATATAATATAAATAAATAAGAATTGTTTTAAATAAAACTTAAAATAATTAAATAACTGAAAACATAAATTTGAATTACAAACACAAAATAAGAATTTAAAAATTCTAACATTAAATAAATATATAAATAAAAACAAAAAATGTTATAATTTTAGTTTTTGGTGTCATTGATGTCTCAGAGAATCTATTAGACAATCAGTGATCCGACTTAACCAAAGTGGGCTCTTCCTTACCAAATGATTGCTCAGTTGGTTCTATGACTGGATTTGTTTGTTCATCACTTTTTGTAATCTCTTTCATATGTATTTCTTCTTCTTTTATACTTTTATCTTTAGGATCTCTACTCTGTTTAACCCTATCTATAAAAAAGATATAATACACGAAACCCAAGATCAACACAACAATTAGTAATAAGATGACTGTAATAATAATGAACAACAACCACCACAAAATGTTCTTTGTCTTTTTTGGCTCTTTTGTAGTGCCATCATCTGGTCCACCACTTGGTGGTGGTGTTGCTGGTGTTGCTGGTGATGGTGGTGTTGATGGTGGTGTTGATGGTGGTGTTGATGGTGGTGTTGATGGTGGTGTTGATGGTGGTGTTGATGGTGGTGTTGATGGTGGTGTTGATGGTGGTGTTGATGACGGTGTTGATGGTGGTGTTGATGGTGGTGTTGATGGTGGTGTTGATGGTGGTGTTGATGGTGGTGTTGATGACGGTGTTGATGGTGGTGTTGATGTTGGTGGTGATGTTGGTGTTTTTGTTGTCAATTTTTGACAGTTAAACAACTTTTGARTTGAACCRCCAGTAACTTCATTGATATTTTTGTACATTTGTTTGTTGTCGACAATGGCTTTCTTGATCTTGAATTCATTGCCTAAGAATTGAATAAATTTGAATTCAGATTTTCCTCCACTTTCAGTGTATTTGTCGGTCAACAGAGCGCTGGCATTAACCGTCTCATAGATAAAGCATTTGTCGTCTCCTTCTTGATGTTCCCATTCGAGCTCATGCTGTGAATCGCCGTATGTTTTATTTTTAGCCTCAAAGACATGTAATTTAAACTCCGAATTTGATTCGCCTTTTGGTACCGGCTTTCTCGACATTTCTGTCAAATTAAAAAATACATTTTTAATTATATTTATTTATCCGATATTATACCTAAATAAAAGACTAGAAGTCTTGACGGAAAGTTTGTCTGAGATGGCAGTTGTATAATGGCTTGGATTAGCTTCTCAAGCGATTCCTGTGGAAACTTTGTAAACAATGTCATCAAACTATACTTTTCTTTGTTTGGTTCGTGTTTATACAGATTTATGTTGATTTCATTTGGAGGACCAGTAAAAGACAAGTGATTTGCACTGTCATTGCCAGTACCGAAGTTAGTGACAGGTATGAACTCCCAACCCTTCAACATATCAATGCCGTCTTGCTATATATATATATATTAATTATATAATAAATATCAATTAATTTACATTCAAATATAATTCAAATTCATTGACAATAATTAATAATACATTTGCAGAGTTTATGCCAATAAGATTGCGATCATTTGTATTGAACTGTGGACCGCCCAACCAGAATAGGATATTCATTTTGGACAGTTGTGATATGACATCCGTTTGCCATACCGTTGACGCGTCGATCACATCACTAAACTTGGTTTCACCTCCCGATTCAAGAGGAGTTGTATCAAAGTCTTTAATGATATAAAACTTGATGTTTCCATCGTTGTTGTCTCCATTTGTTTGAATCGGCTTTTTTGTTATTTCAATAATCAGATCTTTCTTGTAATGAAATGCTTCAATCAATTGGTAGTTCTCTTTGATATCTTCGCAAAGTTGTTGTTCAGACGCCCGACTCATCAGAAAACACAGAAATAACAGATTAGTTATGACTAATGACTTACTAAACAATAAATTATTCATTTTTTAAAAATTTGTTTTAAATCAAGATATCACTGAAGTTTTTGTTATAAAACTTTAGATAAATTTATAATAAGTTTATATACTTTAATGAAGATATCATTGAAGAGTTTTTTTTCTATAAAACTGTATACAAATTTAAGAATTTCATAAAAAGAATATTTTTTTAAAATTGAATTGAAATTCAATTAAATACTGTAAGTATTAGAATCACGAGGGTAACAATTATTAAAATTTAATTAATTTTATTATTTAATTAGCTAATTAATTAAATTGTTGATAATCATTTTAATGATTAACTAGTTATCCAATAATATTGTATCAAAAATATGCTAATAATTTTGAAGATATAAATACACATCCATTCTCTTTCTCTCTTTCTTTATATGTATTCACTAAATAATGTTTTTATGCGTAACGCTATAAGTAATATTCACTATACTTTTTTATTTAATTAATTTTAATAATTATTAGTAATATAATAGTAATTATTGTTATACTATAATTGGTGAACGAAAAACTTTTTAAAAAAATATATGTAGAGATTATTTGCTTCATAATTAATTGTTAACTGCCATTATAATAATTTTATATAAACTTTTTAATATTTGATAAATCAATGATAATTATTTATTTTTATAATGTTAATTATTAATTATATAACATTATGGTACAGTACAAATTACATTACTAGTTTTTTTTGTTGATATTATTAAATTTATTACATTTAAATAATTTGTTTACTATAATTTGTTATTTCTAAATTACATTTATAATTTTGTTTGAAATATGCTAAATATTTCTATTATGACCGACAATATGTATATTATATTTTTAAAATTTTCATGTATTAATTACAAAATCTTTAAAGTGTTAAATATTGTTTAACATTAAATAATTTTTTTAAATTTTCAAAATGTATTTTATTTTATAAATGTTTGTTTTAATATGCAAACAATTTACATGAAAACGATTTTGACAATATTGTAATATAAATATAATAATACTTACATTTTTACATATTTAATAAAGAAATTAAGTAAATATTAATGTTTCACTTAAATAAAATTAACAAAAATTTATGATAAATACTATCTATTAAACAAAAATCAATTGCTTTTTGGTTTATTTGATCGCGACTTTGGTCTTGAACTTCTTGACCTTGAATTTGTTGGTTTCGGCGTCGGATCTACTATTTTGGCCGCCACTTGAACACAGACCACACTCTGTCCCGTCGGATCAGTTAAACTGTACTTCACTTTTATGGATATCTTAATTATATATTTTTTAAAATTTATTAGTTTTAAATTAATTAATAACTTAATAAATAATATACCGGTGGGTAAAATGGTTTGACTTCAAAAGTAGCCTTAAATTGATAGCTCTTTCCTTTTTTCAGCGGACAATCTGGTACTATATTACCAGAACTGCAAGGATCAGCTCTTTGCTCTGGAAATGGCAGTTCTCTACCTCTGATGACACCCTTAATAACTTCCGATAATTTGTTTGTATTAAGAGCTATATAAAAATATAGGTCAAAATCATTATTTTAATAAATAATAATAAATACAATTATTTTTTGACTAAATTAACTTACGAGAGACAAAGTCTGCCTCAACGGTAACATTGGTTCCCAATTTGAGAACACAGGGATCACCACTACATGGTATGATACGGACGTCTTTAACATTGCCACCCCCTATCGTATTCATAAAATTAAAAATTATTTAATAAATTTATTAAATTTATTTTACATTACAGTAGTTGAATATTATAGATTTATTATAGATTAGTGGAATCTATAAAATTTTATTACTATTATTGGCTATATTTGTTTACCACAATTAATATTACTGTAGTATAAGTTAGATATACTGTACTATATATTATACAGTGTATAACTTGTGTGACATTAAAAACTAAAGTTATTATCATATTATTTAGATTAATCTATATATAAACATTTATTTTAGCTGACCGTCAATGACCAACTGACCTATTGCTTATAATAACTGAGCGCATAATTACAAAGAAACAACAATTGTAGATAATATAATAAAATGGTTAACTTTATTAATACCTTATCAATCAACTATCCTATATGTATAGTAAAACACATAATTGAGTACAAATACGAGGAAATTTGGTGCTGACCTCAAAAATATAATGTACATCAAACCCCGGGGACTACCGGTTATTAACTGAATAGTGTTATGACATTTCTTTAATATTTGTTAAATACTTTTTCATTTCTAAACCATATTTTTTAAAGTGAAAGTAAAAACAAACAAAATTTTTATATACATTCAAAATGCATACTTTTTTATTTGACTACTTTCACAATATTTTCAAAATTAAATAAACTATAGTGGCCTGCATTGTAGTGCAATATTAAATAAAAAACTTTAATATTTCATTGAAATCAATATATATATATATATATATTGAATATAAATCTCGGGTCCCTAACCTTAACTGCAACATACAATCAAAACCAATCCCATATCCCACACCTACTCTTTCCTTAAAATAACAGTTTCATTACCCATTGTTGTCTCAACTTAACCCATAGATTTAATGGTTGACTATAAGAGGTTCAAGGACATGGGTTGGTTAGTTTTGGGTAAAGGATCATAACATGATTTAGTGATGGGGTTTGGGGTCTATATTAATAAGGATCATATTGAAGGGTCAACATCTTTGCATATAAAAAAGTTAAGAGTCTAATATTATACTCATTATTATTTGTATAATAAAGCTTATAATTATATACTTATAAAAAACTAGTACACAATATACTATATAATATAAAATTTTGTATAAATTAAAATCAAAATGTTATTATAAGTAGTTTTTGGGTATAATTTTGGTTAATGAATAATATTTATTTTAATGAAACAAATTATTATAAATACCACAATCAGTAAAGTTGGCCGACTGTCCATTTGTATAGTTTGTGGTAATTGTAATAATCAATGCGATTAAAAGTGTCCACATTTTTGTTGATATTATTATAATTAAAAAATAATAACAAAAAAAGTTCACAAAACAGAAAAAATTGATTTTTAGAGATAGAGTAGTAAAATGTTTTGAAGACTTTGAAAGAGTGGATGAAAATGAAAGTGAGATTTGAACCAAAAGTCCTCAAAAATTAGGTTGTCTTCAGTCTTATAAAACACACCACAAAAGTAATACATATTTTTGAAGGCGGGGTTTGCATTCACTTTGAGAGATGAGTGAACAGTTAGCTTATGTTTGAGGCATATCTCAAACCATTAAATTTTCAATTTATATATAAGTCGACAAATCTTTTTAAAAATTAACACATTTTTAAATAATTTATATACGCTTTGATAGATATATAAATATATATATACAAAACAACGTTATATATTTAATATAATATACTTATTTTAAATTAAAATTAAATTATGTTTTTTCAACAATAATTTTAAAATATCTTCAATTGAAAGTAAATATTATAGTTATTATACAATAATAATTAAAAGGTTATATCCAATGATTAAGTGTTTGTTGTGTGTGTGTGTGTGTCCTATAAGTCTATTAAACAATACCATAGATGCTGTAGTTGTCATTATTGTGATTATTATTATTGTGTTTGTATTGTGGATGTGATTCTTGCATAATCCTCATCCTTGGGCCCAAAGGAATGCCTAATTTTTGTAACCTTTCTTCACTCAAATACGGCAATTCAGTTATGCCTAACCAATTGAATGACAATATAAATTATATATATTTAATAATTAATTAAAATCTCACTCAAAAAAATAATAATTTATATAAAATGATTAGTCGATTGTAGTTAAAAGCAAAGTATTATTACTGTTAATATAATTACCTATTTTCTCTGATTCAAAATTTCGGGCGTATTTCTAAATAATAAAATAAATAGAAGAAAAATAAGAAAATAAAAACCATTTTCAAATAAAAAAGCAACAAATAAATTATTAGAAACATTTTGAAAATAAATGCAAATATGTAATTGATATCAAAATGAGATATTAATAATTGGGAAACAAGTTTGTTGTGTACCTCATAGCCTAATTTCTTGAGGAATTGCCTCAACAATGGGGGCTCGTCTCCAAAAAATCTGTTTTAACAATAATTACAAATCATTTTTAAGCATTTATTTTAAAATATAATTTGAATAAATTTTATATTTTAATCGATTGTAATACTATATAATTAGTAAGTTTATTATTTTCTATACATATACTATTAGTGTGAATACTATTTTCTATAAATGTTAATAAAAATTGTTAAACGTGTGTCCACTTGACCCCCACTTATTGGCCTAAAATTCCAATTTTTTCAATAAACAATTACATACTTTTTCAATTTTTCTACTTTATTAGGATTAATGATATGATGATTAGTCAATTGGTTAGTCAATCGACGCCCATTTGCGGAAATATAACCATTGCTTTGATGATAGGACTGCTGTTTATTAGTCATACTAAAGCCACCGGTGCTTATGTTTTGTTTAATTGCTAGCATTTGTTCCCTAATTAAGTGCATCTCTTGTCTGAAATTCTCCATTTCTTCAGATATCGAGTGATTGTATCGCATTTCTGTAGATAATTGAGCCACACTTCGGGCTAATGTTATTACATGAGTCTCAAGACGTTTCAGTCGACGAGATGAGTGACTTAACAAATAAATCAATCAAAAATATAATTAAAAATTTAAATTATTAATTAATACATACGATTCATCGGGTTTAGACTTTCGGACGTCATATCTATATCTTCTATAATACATATCTCTGGCGCCTCTACTCGTGACAGAACTGCGACCCGATATTATCGATGAAGTGCTCCGACAAACCTTTCTTCGAGTTCTTTGTGTGCCATCAATCCTAGCCTTTGGACCCATCATTCCCAGAATCTGCTCAACAAAAATAATTTACAAATATTTATAATTTTGTAAATATATATATATATATATATATATATATATATATATACTGTACACTTATATATTGTATACTGTGTACAGTATATTATATATTTTTATCATTTTAAATTGATATTTAAAAAGATGAAATTATCTGTAAAAGTAATAATAAAAAATAATAATTGTATAAACCGTGTGATTCAACGGTTTTGCCTCAACTGACATCAAATTCAATTAAATATCTTTTAATAATATTTACAATATTTATTCATTGATGTGTAACAATAATTATTGTAATATATCAATGTGTGATTGCCATTTGGTAATGATTTATAAAAAATCAAATTTAAAAACAACACAACACTACCACAATATTGTCACGACATTATATAATACATTAGATGTCAATAACATGAAACAAGTGTCACAAAACAAGTATATAATTATTTTTTAAAAAAGTCTCATCCCTTTACTTTAACCTCAAACTAATTATAATTATTTAATTACTTTCAATAAGCCATTTAATACAATAATACTTCATTATTAAATTTAAGTGATAAAATAAAAATTATAAAATCTCATTATTAAAGTTTAAGTTTAAAAATAATAGTCTAAACGTGTAATTATTTTAATTATTGTAATTAATATTTAATTATTATTATATATTTAGGAAATGTGGTAAATAAAAATACAAAAAATTGGGCTAACATTTTTTTAATACTACAGGTAGTCTGTGTTGTTATCATAATAATGTATTCAAGATTTAAACTGCTATTTGCTGTCTATCATTGTATTAGATTTGTTACAATGAAAGGCAAAAAATATTTTGATTCATAAATCCTTTGTAATATACAATATATTCATATTAGGAATTTAATATCAAATTCAATCATTCACTATATTATAATTTTTATTTTAGCATTTGAATAAAATTATTTATATTAAAAAAACAGTGAAATGGACAGTATGTCTGTGATTATGGATGAGCTAACCTCTGAATACATATTTTCCAGTCCTTGTAGTTGTTTGCGAATAGAGTAGACGTCTTGTTGTTCATATAGACTGGTATTAGCCGTGTATTCACTGCTCAGATCGTCGGCATAAGTGCTGTCCCGCGCAGTAGTGGTCGACAGGATATCACAATCGACTAAATTTCTGAACCGATCTTTATTTTTATCAATTGAATGATTGAATCGATGTTTGGCTCCTCTATTGGCTAAACCATAATGTGATCGATCATTACTCCTACGTTTAGCACTGGTATTAGGCATTTGCATAGTCTTTGTTATGGATGAGGAACGTTGTGCCGGATATTTGTTTTTATCGTTCATTAGATTTGGTTTATTACTGTTTGTTATTTGTTTATCAATTACTGAACACTTTTGCTTGTTTTTATTGGTCTCATATGTTTTGCAACCGGTATTTTTCATAGCATTTCCACTCTTAGAACAGTCAGCTTTGGCTTCATAATAGTCCGCATACTTAGATGTCGTTCCTTTTTGTGGCTGATGTGACACTTGTGATGGTGTATTTGATGTCCAACTATCACTTTCATTAACAATCGATAGTCTAGTCTTAAATCCGCGACTCAAGTCGTCGACATCGACTTCAATGGATTGTACAGAATGGTTGTCCTCAAGAATTCGTTGCAATTCTTTCTGCATTTTCTCAATCTTTTCATTACTAGTCATACTGTCAGTCGATTGCGTCTGATTTAGACTGTCCTCAACCCAAGCATTGGCCTTAACAGCCGACACACTTTGGTCTGAGTCTAAACTTGTCAAATCTAGAGGACTTGTACCGCAGGGACTATCGTTTTTGTTAGCATTATCTGTGTGTCGACTTCTTACAGTTCCGCGACCAGAATCGGACGATGACTTGTAATTATGATCTGGAGATGTCATACTATCAGTAATTCTTTGGTCACTAATTTGTACTAAATATCCATTGTTTTGTATATCTTGATAAGCACTGGTAGTTATTGCTGTGTTCACATTCAACACATCCTCTGCGGGCACATCTGATCTAACAGTAAGCAAAGTGTTTCTGTTTATATCACATTCAAGATCACTGACAACTACAACATGTCTATCACTGACAGCACCTGTTATATCACATTCATTATTTGTTTGTTGTTTATCATCTAAAACTCTGGAAGAAAAATGTGAAGAAGAAGAAGATGGAGAACAAGTAGACAGTTGTGTTGGATCTGATCCATTAAATGATTGATTATTTGTATTTGTTGTACTCGTATATGAATTATGACATATCGTGTCTTTATGAATCACTTTATCAAATAAATCACTTTTCATATTATGTGATAATTTGGGAGAAGTGTCCAAAAGGGATGGTTTGGTCATAGCTGAGGCCATTTGTGATGTAAGGGTTTGATTGATTGGACACTTAGTCTGACTGAACCATTTGCTGCAGACGTCTCTGATGTGAAACGAGTCGTTTTCGTCGTCAAAAGTGTTGTAGTTATCCATCAATGAATTATCCACTTGTGATGAAACGTTTGGATACACAACAGTTTGTGAGCTGTATGTGCTGTTAGCCATGGGTTCAGTGGTATCTGTGTTTTGATTCACAGACAAAGTTTCATTAGTATCGCTTTGGCTAAAGCTTTGGTTAGTATTTCTTTGGTTTGTTTTTGTTTTGGATGAGTCTTTTGCAGGTAAGAGCATAGCGCGTATCCTCTGATGAAGACCACCCAGACCTCCCTCAGCACTGCGACTATTGTGAGGCTTACTGTTGCCAGCAGTAGACGTCTGTCCCTCCAAATGGCTTAGAGAGATCTGCCTTCGCAGTGGAGCTGATGTGAGAACGGGTGTCGAAGCACTGGTATTAGAGCTATTAGTTTGGCCTAATGTCGAGTCAGGATATGTGTGGGAATGAAATGATGATCCTATCAGTCAATCAAAACAATTGTAAATTCAATTCTCAGACAAACAATTATGTTATGAATGCATACTATTATTATTTTCTGGTCTGCACTGTAAAGGCGACAATAGTTTCGGTATATTTGAAACTGACTTAATTGACTGACAGCTCGACTTGTTTTGCAAATTAGTCGTCATATTCACACCCGTTTGATCTGATCTTTGATTGAGAGCACTCGTCGATCCATACATACGATCAACCGATAGACCACTTCCTATCGTCGACGATGTCATACCATTCATCATATGACAGTTTTGATGGATTAAACCCTAAATTTTTGTTCAAAAATAGTTAAATTCACATAATTAAAAAAATTAAAATATAATATTTTTATATTATTAGTATTGTCTTAAGTAAAAGTGTTTTATAATTGAATTTCTAGGAAATAAAATAAAAATTAGTTTGAATACCAAGAATTGATAAAAATGTTATTAAATGTAATATATTATCAAAGATCCTACATAATGATCAATAAGCTTTACTATAAATACATATAAAACTAATTACACGAAACAAACCAACACGACGGCACCTATAAATTATAATATAATATTCCCTTTAAATAAATAGATCTTAAATATTTGTTAAACTTAAAGCTTATTTATATATTATATATTTTTTTGTTATCACACATAATATGAATTCAATGGAAATAGATGTTAAAAATCACAGACATATCTACCGGTTAAAAGCTGCGGGCGTTTCACGATTACTACATATATAGCGAAAAGCATAGATCCGTTTACCGGCCTCTCTCTCGATGGTTACAATAGCTGAGCAATTACTGTATTTAATATTATAGTGCATTGAAAATACCTTCAAATACATTGCAGATACTGTACACACACTGTGTATACCTGTTATGATATATATGTTGCACATTGGCTTTAAACTGAAAATTATGATTGTCTGCATCACGTTATAATGTAAATCATAATTTGTATGCTCTTTGTTAATATATTATAGATAATGTATATTATAGCCCTTAATATTTCAAATGTTTAAATATATCTATGATATATATAAATATAACATTTTCGCAAAATTTTCCAATTTTTTTGTGTCCAATAGGAAATTGCTCTCAATTTTCAAATAGAAAACCGAAGTATATATTTTATGTCAATAAATAAATACAATAGAAATGTTTGGATAACATAATACAAATAAAACTAATATTTTATATGATTAGTAGTTTTGCATATACTGTATATTTATATGCTATATAACATGTAATGTTAATATATATATAATTTTGTTATTCTAAAATATACAGTATATCAAAATAACAATTTTTAAATAACTTTATTTATTTTTTCGAAAGTTCAAGTAATTCAAGTTTTATACGGAATATATTAATATATTTAGTTTTATTATTATTATTTTAGTTTTATAAGGACATTATGAATGATTTTTTGCTATACTTTAACACATCATTTATAAAATTACAAAAAATTGTATTAATGAATTGATATTATAAGCATCAAAAAACTATTAATGTTAATGTAAGTTAAGGCTTAATTTTTTTTTAATTAAACGAATTTTGAGTTTATTTAAAGCTATTAATCATTTCTTGTCTAAAGTAATTAATTATAAATTATAAAAATACAAAATAAATTTCGAGTTAATATTTTTATGTTATTTTTATATAATAGTAAGTTTTATTTCATTCAAAGTATCTATAATATACAATGTTTTAACTTGTAAGTGATTTATAAAATATATACTTATTAATTATAAATATATATATATATATACAGTATATATTAAAATTTTATGACAAATTTAGCACTAGTAAATAAAGTATACCAATCAAGTACTTAATAATTTATATTGATTTAAAATTATTACACTTGTATTTTCGCCAAAAATATAAATTGTATATTTAATAAATAAATAATTTAAGCATAATTTTATATATAGTATTTATTAATTCTGATTCCTAATTTATCAAACTATATTTTTTAGTTTTTAATATACTATAAATATAAATAATATTTTATTTATTATACTTGAATCAGTTTTAAATTTCAAATTATTAATAATTGATAATAAAAATCAATTTTTAGTATTAAGAATTTATAAATGTTTTGAAAAAGTAATATAAAGGCAATAAAATTTCATTTAATATGAAATATATAAACCATTACCTCATTGTGATTACAAGTGCAGAAACCGCCCGTCCGTCGCAATCGCTTTTCAAATGATAAAAACATTACTTTTTAGTCGGTTTTTACTTTTAAACATCTAAACAGTCATCAACTTATATAAACATGTTTATAGAAAATTTGATAATAATTTCCATATTATAAACCCCAATGCGTTCAATCAATTTCGGTGCCGACATATCAGTCAAAATTATTTTGAAGTCAATTACAATAACACACACATTGAGAGAGAGTACTAGTATTCCCACCAAAAAAAAATGAGTGGAAATATATTATTTAGATACAATGCTTATAATAATAGACTCGCAAATAGACTGACGGAGAGGATAGTTATGTAGGAGTGAATCACTTGAGTGGAGAAAGTAGTTAATTGACGGCCAACTCTATGACCGCCCATTATATTCATAAACAATATTTGTTCAGTTAGTGAAACATTGGTTTTTCGGTTTTATTGCTTGATTTCAATCATTTTTATTTTGATGGATAAAAGTAATATATATTTTAATATTTATTTATTAATCACAATAATATCAAATTATAATTGAATACAAAATTAGCGGTAAATAATATACTGTGCATTATATAACATAAGATATATATATAGTTATTCATTCATAATATGAGTGATTACTTTATCTATCTCTCTGTTATTAATGTTTTAAAAAACTTAACAAATGTTTTATTTTAAGTTAAATTATAAACATTTTGAGTTACAATACAATAGCCCTTGAAAATTGACTTTTGATGGGAAATATCGCAATAAAACATTGAGAGAGAGTCTGCAAAAAGATCACTCACTTTAAGGGCTAAACAACACTACAATGAATCTCAATAATAATAATGATAGTTATATAGCGCACACCCCATATCTCCCTTCCCCATCACCCATACATAATAAGGCTATATATATATTACTTATATAAGATGCTGGCATTGCACTGCCCGCTGCACCTGTAGCTACAATAACTATTTGTACATTATTATAAGAGATCCAATGTGATGATACATTTGCAATAATATAACAAACATAACACAGACTGCGCTTTACTGGTCAGACCTCTTCAATGTATTAAATTGTACTGTATTTTACATTACATTACTTTAACTTAACTTTTAAAAAAGTATTAAATACAAAAAAAAAGTTTAGTAAAAATGTTTTTGAGATAATGTTATTGTTTTAAGTAATTTACTACTAAAGGGATGAACTTACAAACCATTGAGAGTGAGTGAGTGAGTGAGTGAGTGGGTGAGTGAGTGAGTGAGTGAGTGAGTGAGTGAGTGAGTGAGTGAGTGAGTGAGTGAGTGAGTGAGTGAGAGAGAGAGAGAGAGAGAGAGAGAGAGAGAGAGAGAGAGAGAGATGAGAACCTGAGTGTTACCACTCCTTACCTGAGGGTTGTGTTTATTGTTGATATTCTTGGTTTGCATGACCTGTGGGTCAGCCAAGAGTCACGAAAAGACAGTTTTTACTCACTATTTTGCTTATCAGTCGCTGTATTGATGGCAAACACTATCAACAAAATTTCGGCACTTTTTTGTTTGTCGATATAATTGTAGAAAAACAGAAATTAGTCGGTTATTGAAACTCACGTTTACTTCAATACAGGTATTATTTTTGTCATTTTTCAGATTTATTTATTTAACAAATATCTAAAAATAAAAAAAATAAATTAAACTATTTATTAATTTCTTTTTAATTTATATATTATAATTATTAAGTAAAGTTTAATATAAATCTTAATTACTTTAAAATAATTTAATTTTTATATTACAATAGAAAGTGTATTAACATCAATGTCATTATAAAATAAAATTTAATGTTATTAAATACAATATTAACATGTTATTAGAGTATGAAAAATATAATACTAATAATACATTACTAATAAATCATTAATTGAAATCAGATTTTATGGTTAAAGATAAGATGAGGTTTGAGAGAAAAATAATAATTTTTAACTATAGTAATGCACATTAATATTACTAAATAATAATAATAATAATTTAATATTTAAGCGGTAAAAGTATTGCACGAAAAATAAGTTTGTTTAAAAAACTGTTTTTATAATAATCATAATTAATAATTTAAAGTGAGGGCGGCTTTTGTAAGGGGAGACTATTTAGGCATCCATTGGATGTAATGTATTAATAAAAAAATATTATTAGTATTGAAGAGTCTATTGAATGATCGCTTGCGGCTTATTATGTATTTTACACGTTTAGCTTATATATTGTATTAAATTTGGTTTGATCTGAATATAAGCACTTTGTTATAATCATTTAGTTGAATATTGTTTTGTAAATTTATTGGCATTTATTTGATACTATGAAGGACACACACAATCTGATTATTTGAAACTATGTTATTATTATTTATAAAATATACTATATTTTAGAAAAAATCACAATTTTAATTATATCGTCAAATAAAAGTCAAGATAAATATTACACGCATTGCTATTCAATTAAAACAATTTTACTGATTTTCATGTCATTACTATTGTTGTGTCCGCTATTCATAAGTTTTATGCAAAATTTGGGTTTAATTTATGTCTATAAAGTCGTGTCATAAAGTTTTTTATTATTATTAACAGTATAAATACATTGCAATAAAATCGTGATGAGTTACACAAAATTGTTTTTTTAATTGCAAAATCAAAATAAATTAAGAATCTTTAAATACAAAACATAAAATTGGGTTTTAAAAAAATCATTAAAAACATTTGTCGCTAAATTATTTCTTAAATATAACAGTTAACCTCAAATATAGTTGAACTCATATTATAAGTAAAAGTAATTGAAAGTTAATGTCTAATAAAAGTCAAAATTTTTATTATCTATTTAATATCAAATATTGTAAATTAACTTGGTCCAAATTGTTTATTTAAATTGTTTTGTCTAATTCATTAATAACAAAAATAAATAATTTTTGTTTATTTGATCTAATCTTACATTATTGCAATTTTATTAGCAAATCTCAATAAATCAATTTTATTTAATGATAAAAATATTCAAATAATGAGATTATAATAATTGTAATATACTTTATTAAATTGCACGACTTGAATGACTAGTTTGAAACGTTTTAAATAAAATTATTTTCTACAAAATGAGTTTGAATTATATGATTAGTTATGTATTATATATATGTTATTCTGAGATTATATTTTTAAAAATTATAACATTTATAAATAATGTAATAGACTATAAAAATTAGTATCGATAATACGGTATTTAAAATTTAATGATATTATTATTACTTCAGACCTTAATATTTTGTTTAATAAAATTTATGAAATTATTTCGTGAATTTCTAAACAAAAGCCTCTCCATCTGTGTTCATAAATTCACACAATTTTCTAACTGTAAAATTGCCGATATTTATGATTATTACCATTGATTTTTTATTACTTAATTTTATATTATAAATTTTAATTTTTATAAACAATTTACTTTAATTATGAACCATAAATTTTCCAATATTTAAATCATGATATCATGATTTTTTTTCATTTAATTGTTTCTAAAATTTAATTATTTTTTCCAGAAACTTGTATTCTCGTTTATATAACCTATATCAAATCGATATGCAATTAAAATGCTAATGATAAATATCAAATTTTTATACAAATGTAATAATCAATAATTAAGTAATATTTGTTTTATAAACATCGACACAAATATGATAATAGTTATAATTATTTATTTTAGTTTCATATTAATCTTAATTCAATGCAATTGTTTTTAATGATTTCTGTACTAAATCTATATTTTTAATCAGAAAAAAACTTATTTAAAATTGATTTTCAAATTTTACTTAATTTTGTTATTTTTACGATTTTATCGCTTTTATCGCTTTAATTATCAAATATAAAAAACATTTAAATATAATATAAATATAAAATTATAAAATACCAAACTATAAAAATAACGATAAATATTATAAACAATACACTTTATCCAATTTATAGTTACCAAAATGTATTAAACATAGATAACGCGTTTAACACAAATTAGTTTTTATGGTAATAATGACAATAATTTTAATTTTTTCAGTATTTATCTTTAATTTGGTCCATTTAGGGTGGGGTTAGATTTGGGGATTGGGGTGTGGGGTATGAGAATAGCTTGATTGAGGTGGAGTCGGGTGGTGTTAGGTTAAGTTGTCCTACAAGAGTCAATCTCAGCTTTTATCTAATATTATCTATTTATTCATGGTTTTAAATTTATGAAATTATTTGAATCATATGTTGTAAAGTTGTATTCAAAATAGTAAAGCGTTTCAAATTCATTTAAACCAAATATATTTAAGGTTTGGTTCAATTTAAGAATTTACCTCAAAGTATTAAATTATGGCTAAAATGATTTTATATATATATATATATATATCTCATAAAAGATGTTATTACGATTGCTATTACTCTGTAAACTAAATATATTTGTATATTACTTTAAGATTATAACTGATACTGTAATTATACAATATATTATTTCTAACTGTATTTTTATATGAACAATAAAATTTACTATAAATATGTTAAATCAATTATTTAATTTTGAAATTCGTAAAAAGGGGTGCAATCTTTGAAAATGTAATACAAATTAAGATGATTGATTGTAAACGCAATTATTATTATATGTATCATTAAATTTTTATTTTAACTTTATTTATTTTAATCGTTGTCTAAAATATTAGTGTAATAATTAACTTTTTAAAAATTACATTTCACATTTTAAACAAAAGTTTATCAATTATTTCGCATTTCAATAGTAATTATAGTAAAAATATATATAAAAGATACAATTGGTTTATTTTTATAGTTTCATAAACTTTATCTTTAGTGATGTCAATTGAATGTAAATTATTCTGGATTTCAAAATTAAATCCAATTTTCATATAATAATATATATTTATTATTTAGTGTTGTTTTCTGGCAATACAATTGCCATTTGTTTATAATTGTGATGACAATCACTCGTCAGACAACTGTTTAATGCATTTTTATAGCAATGCTTTTATAATGACAAACATGAGGTTCCCGTGAGATATAAACAGTGAATGAAGCGCTTGAAGTGATACC